CGCCATTCATTTCCTCGTGGTAATCTCCAGTTTTCTTAGACTCAAAGCACCACAGACCGTCAACAACAAATCCATCCTCACTGCCAATATGGCAGATAATGAGCCTTTTCCCTTTACCTGGAAATCGAAGTACTAACTGGTGTAGATTTATTTCAATAAGCGAACCTTTTTCAAATGTTTTCATCACATTCAGCGAAAAAACATTGAGACATGAGTATCAGATTGCTATAATTGGGATTATTTAGTCATATTGAAAGAAAGAATATTGAACGTCGTATGATTACTCAGCGCTTCAAAATTTAATTTAAAGTTATAAACCTTTAAAAAATGAATGATCAGGAACCTGAAATACGCGCAAATATTAATATTAACAAATTATAACTTTATAAAGCTTAAAGTATGAATTAAAATGATTATAAATATTAGGAACGGTACACAATATAAAACTTAGTAACTTTTTTTGAGCTTATAATATTCGACATATTTTAAGATTATATTAAAAAATTGTTGAAATATCGAAAACACATAAAAACATGGCTTAAAAAAGTTCTAACAAATGAAAATGACAATAAAACATCCACGCATTTTATCGAAAGTTATAAAAGTTTTGTTACTTGTAATATGTTTTATCTGCCCCCTGGAATTAATGTTTAGAACCTTGTTCCCAAGGTTTGAAAAACATCCGATTGTCTATTACTCGTATTTACCTGCTGGATTTTTTACTCCGGTGGACAGTCCATCTAGAAAGGCCCTCCTGGATGAAGTTACAGAATCATCAACCCATACTTTACTTGTAGTGTGTCCTGCGTTTACCCACGTTTCAATAAGGTAATAAATCTTCCTGTTTTGATTTCTATATTTCCCAATTTTTGTTAAATAATCCCTCCTCCATAGCACAATTTCTTCTCTATCCAGTAGTAAACTATTACGACCCCGTTTTTTCCATTTGAAATTTAAATGCTTCAGTAACGCTTGGAAAGTTGATCGTTTGAAATTTGGCAACGTTGTATCTCCATTTACCTCCTGCAGTACTTTATCTATAGTAGGTATTTCATTCCTAAAGAAGAATTCATGCACTTTCCTCCTAATCGCATGCTTATCAGCTTCATCCAATGATTTAACAATACTTTTGCGATGTTTACTGGTCATTGGCTCAGAAAAGGTGTGATTTTTTTTGTATTGTCTTAACACATTAAACACTGATGCGCGACACACCCCAACTTTGTGAGAAACCTTCACAACAATTTCTTTGACGGTTGATGCCTCGTTCTCCTCGCGCTCGATCTTATATATATTCAAAATGACCTCTTTCATTTCTGCACTCAGGTGTCTTTTTTTAGAGCGTTTCCTAGGTGGACTACAGGAGTCTACAACTTCATCGGCAGTATCTGTACTACTGGGCATTTTGCGCAAGCAGTTGATAACAATAACAATCAATAACAAGGTATAACAATAACAACGACAAACTCAACAACTTAATAAGATAACAAACGAAAACGTCCAAAGAAATATCAAATTGCAATGATGCACACGACATACGTAACATGTCTGAACCTGAATGTGACTCTGCCTTGATACGACTGCTCTGCCGCTCGGCATAGGCATTTAATTGCGAATTGACAAATGAGGGCTCCTGTTTTACGTCGAGACGGCGGCGTTACCGTGAAAATCATCCGAACCTTTTGTTTACATCCGGTCTATCTCTTATCTGAATATACTGTAGAAGCGTTATAGACAGAACTCGAGTCTTCAAAGCCTGCTAGATGGCGGTCGATGTATCTGCATGCGAGACTAACGGGCAGGATGCGCCGTCACGAAATTCTAGTTGCCTAAGTATCGATATTACCAGTGTCTAATTTTTTTTTATTTATCATTGACATTAGGACATAAGGACTCCATGCAAGTGGCGTGTAGTTCGCAAATGAACTAGTCCAATCGAACAGCTCTTATGATTGAACTAAGCGAACTAGTTCGTCATTCCTTGGAAAACTCCTGCACTCGTTCAGTACGAACGTATTACGGGAGAAAGTTGCCTAGAAGTTATGAAATAGAGGATAAATGCTGTTAATCATAAAGGCTGAAAAAATATCAGCTTACTTTAATGAAAAAAAGATCACCCATTTGACTTTATCGGCTTCTAGACTAATTCTGCTGACAGGACTGCTTGCTCAGCCTTCAAAAAAAACCGCTCGCATTTCACAGATGGCAGATACAAATGTTTTTTAACCATCTCAACTAATCTGGGGTAGATTTTGCTCGTTCCTGGCACCACTTCAGAGGTAAAAGCTGTTTATGAAAATATTTATCTCGTTCGATAATGCCTACTGCGACTGGATTTTAAGCTGCACAAATACGTTTTACATCAAGGTCAGAACCGTCCAAAAGGTCTGATACTGTTTTCTTCTTCTTCAGTCCATTTTCCCCTTAGATTCGGCTTGCGATATGAAAAAAAAACATCGCGCGAAAGTAGGGCATCTACATATCTAGGGTTGCCTAAGTTTGTATTATGTATTGAAAACCGTCTGAAGTGGTGAAATCAAAAAAGCAAAAGTGTACATTATTTGATATTGTTAGAAAACGTGTATATCTTACAGATACATATGTCATGTGAGTGACAGTTTAAAATTGAAACATCCATCTTGACAAACAGAAAATGAAACAAAGAAAACAAGAATACCAATTAATCATATTTATTTTTTATTTTTTTGAAATTTACAGCCGGGTGGAGCTAGGGTCAGGACTCGATATGCAGCGTAGTGAGTCCTGGGTAGCCAGAACATCAATTTTTTCTTATATTGATCAGTTACAGGTCGCTGCTCTAGCTATTTCTGTTAAATGATGACTGGTGTTTCAAAATGATGAGGTAAATTCTACATTTCAACCCTTTCCGAAGTGGATATCGTCGCGCCGAGCTGGCGGTTTCTGTTCAAAGAAGTCAGCAATATTCCTCTCATTCCATTGCTGTCAACAGTAGTATTTTCCTGTTTTCTGTATATAGGACATTGAAAATAGATTGATTGCATTTAAGTTCAATACAATTAATAAGACATCGAGCTTCGAATAACAATTTTATCGTGTGTTAGTGGGTAACGAGCAGGAGTATCAATAAATTATTCTCAAGTAGTAACTGTATCACTAACAGTAAAACTTCTACCATAAACCACAGTTTGAAACTGAAGATCAAACATCCCACTTGCGACACGTCTCATTTGACACCAAGCTACTAGTCTTAATTTCATGCATTTGTTGAAAATCAATTTATTGCTGCATGTCTGACAGTTTATGTCTATTGCTCTGTCTGCGCTTTGGTAATATTGAGTTTTTTAAGGCTCTTGTTTTGCTGCTTCGTTATGAGCTTATTTATTTCGATTTTGCCCAGTAGCGACACAATTCTGAGTTATCAGTTATCGAAATAAGAAAGCTCCGTTGGTCACGGTGAATAGGGGAGGGCTTATTTCGTGAGGTTATATTTTCCTTATTCGGCGCATGCAGTTACCGAAATTGGTAAAGCTGGATAAGCTTAATTGAAATAATTTCAAGTTATACAAAGATACTGGTCCGTGGACATAGAAGTACCACGTATTTTATAGACTCAAAATAGGTAGCCTGCAAGGTTTATATACGAGGGATGTCTTTTAAGTTTTGCATATAGAAACATAGTAGGCCGCGCGGATCGAACGTCAGTACTGAATATTTACCTCACTCTTCAGTAAGCTTAAATTCAAAGTTTCACAATACGTGCAGTGTTCTCACTACAGTAAATTTTTAAGTGTCACCAAGTAATTAGAAAAATGGAACTCGACCGAGAACATTTTCGCGCCATAACTTATTACAACTTTCAGAGACAATTATCGCAACAATAATGCCTTGCTGAGTTACTGTCTGTTTTCGGCAACGAAGCGCCACATCAGTCGACAATTTCCCGTTGGTATCGAGAACTCAAACGTGGACGGGTGAGTCTTAGCGACGATTCCAGGGTGGGTACATCAAAAACGTCAGTCACCGAGGAAAACGTCGATGCTGTGCGCAAACCCATTATTGAAGATAGACATGTGACATATCGCGAGATTCAGGCGTCGTTGAAGATCTCAAAGACCTCAATTCAAAAAATTTTACATGACGAATTAGGAGTAAGGAAATTAGTTTCTCGTTGGATATCCCACCTGTTGACTGAAGAGCAGAAAGCTTCCAGGGTTAATTGGTGTCAACAAATGCTTGACCGTTTCAATTCCGGAAACTCAAAAAATGTGTACAGCATTGTTAGTGGTGACGAATCGTGGATTTACTGTTATGGACCAGAAAATAAACGACAGTCGGCTGATTGGGTGTTCCGAGGTGAAGAAAAGCCAACAAAAGTCATCCGTTGTCGACGTGTTTCGATAAAAATGGTCGCGGCATTTGTGTCAAAAGCGGGTCATATTGAAACAATTCCCCTTAATGAGCAAAGAACTGTTACTGCGGATTGGTATACCTCCATCTGTTTGCCAAAAGTCATCACCGAGCTTCGAAAAATCAACCCCGCAAGAAGAATCATCCTCCACCAAGACAATCCAAGCTCGCATACAGCCCAAAAAACAAGGCAGTATTTAACGGAAGAAAACGTGGAATTATTGGACCATCCTCCATATAGTCCCGATCTAAGTCCTAACGATTTCTTTACTTTCCCGAAAATTAAAAAACAGACTGCGTGGTCAAAGGTTCCAGTCACTAGAAGAAGCAGTTGACGCATTCAAAGATGCCGTTTCGGATCTGCCAGCAAACGAGTGGAATAAGTGCTTCGAAAATTGGTTCGAGTGCAGAATACTTCGAAAAACAATAAAGTCATTTAAAACTACCTACCGTGTTGTGTTATTTCCATATGCAAAACTTAAAATACATCCCTCGTACCTTCTGTGGTTCCACTTATTGACCAGATTGAGCAAAATGGTCCTACTATAAGTACTATGGGTATACTCTGTATATCAACTAAATTTTGAAATAAACATAAAATTCTCTCCTACCTTTCAGCCAAAGTTCGATCTTCCCCGATATACCGAAACCCGTGGATTCCTGTATAATCACAATACTCCCTGAAGTAGACCATGAGTCTTTTCTCTTGAGGCCTGGTTTTACCCTGCCCCTTCCCACTCATTTTTCACTAAGTGTATAATCCGCACTACTTTAACTGCATATGTGACACTCTCTAACACAGTTGCACCACAATATGCATAGAAAGAATTGGGAATGATAGTTTTAACTGCAATTTTCCTCCCAGCCTGGTGTTATAAATATAGATATTTAGTTTTAGAATCTAAAATCCATTAATGCGTTGATATCATGTACATGTAGATGTTCCACCAGACATATATAACTATATCTAGTTAACTTTCGTCATTGACGTGCAAAATTTATACAGGGTGAGTTTTTAGTGTGGGCTAACACATTTTTTTAGTGAAAAGATCTACAATTTATTGCAGATTCGGATAGGCCATTTCCATCCATTATAAATATTTCCACACTTTTTGATTACCCTTTTCACAAGCTTTTTTTCGATACCAGGTTTATGTGAGTTTGCACGAATGGTTTTTGAGTTACCTACAGTTAATGTAATGCCCCTGCCTTCTGCAAATCGGCAGGGGCATTACATCATATATCATAATTAAATTGTTTTTTTGCATCAAATACACTTACTCGAGATGTATGCGAAGTTAAAAATTAGTTGTGCATCCGCTTTATCTTATTCAACCTGGAAATTACATATGCAAATTTGCTGAATTTCAAAAATGCGAGCGATAAGAAACGAAACTCCCTGGTTGGTCAAGTATATTAAAACTAACATGTGAGAAAATATGGTAAATACAGGAATATTTATGAAAAGTAAAACAGTTATTACATTTCACATTAATTTTTATTTCCAGCCATTTAAATTTTATACAAATTTATTTTACGATGCGATGTAACGCGTCATTCCTAATTTTTCTGTGTTGTGGCTTAATCGCACACAACGCGGATGCGGTGATGATTTCCCGTAATGCTTTTCAAAGTTTTTTAAAACGCCGAAAATCGTAATGCATAATTTTGAACATAACCTCTCTTCAGTAAGGACAACAGAAATAAGCCATCTGGCACAGCTAATAGATATATTTCATGGGCACCATATTCAGTAATAATTTTCTCACATAGCAAATATCGCAGATGTGATCTTGCTACTCTGCTACTCAACCAAACATCTTCTCAGAGTACAGGGTTTGTCCGGAAAGTACCTAATAGGTATGAGTCGATTTAAAATATTGAGTCAATCGTTACAATTCTTGAAAAACTATCAAAATATGCTCCTTCTGCGTCGATGCAGCGCTGCCAGCGCGATTTCCAAGCATTGAAGGCGTCACGGAAGACATTCTCCGGAATAGCCTTGAGAGCCGCGGTGCATGCTCCTTGGATCCTCTATGTTGTCTCAAAATGCTTGCCTTTCATCGGCCTTTTCAGGCGAGGAAACAAAAAAAATTCCGGGCGGGCCACATCTGGGCTGTAGGGCGGCTGCGGAAGCGTTGGGATTCCTGCCTTGGTCAGCTAGCTGTTCACAAGAAAGGCGGTGTGAGCCGGGGCGTTGTCGTGGTGCAACTTCCAGTCGGCTGCGATGTCTTGTCGGACCCGACTGACCCTTCGTTTGAGTCTCCTGAGCATTTCCACGTAAAACTTGGCGTTGACGGTTTGTCCAGGAGGAACAAATTCATGGTGGACAATGCCTTTGATGTAAAAAAAGACAATGAGCATCGTTTTCACTTTGGATTTGCTCATTCTTCCCTTTTTTGTGCGAGGAGACGCCGTCGTGTGCCACTCGGAAGATTGCCTCTTTGTCTCGGGATCATAGGTACTCAAAGATCCACGACTCGTCACCTGTGATCACGTTATTCAAAAATTGGGGGTCACTTTCACACATGTTCAAATTTTCTTGGCACACTTCTACTCGCCGCAATTTCTGGTCGTCATTGAGCACTTTTGGGACCATCTTCGCGCACACCTTGCACATGTTCAAATGCTGTGTCACAATGTCATGAACCACAGATTTTGGTAAATTTAACATCTGGGCTATTAAACGAATACTTAGTCGATGGTCTGAGTTCAAATCTTTGCGCACATGAGTCACTTTATCGGAGTTTGTCGAAGTCGAAGGTCTTCCAGCACGGCCTTCATCAGCGACCTCTTCCAGGCCCTCCAAAAAGGCCTGGTCCCACCGAAACACACCACTTCTTGCTGAAGCAACACCAGGGTAAGCCTGCTTGATCATATCAAACGTCTCTGTCGCAGATTTACCGAGTTTCACACAGAATTTAATCGCGTACCTCTGCTCTAACGAACGCTGCATTTTCGGCTTGCACCACTCACAGAAACACGTCGCGCGAAAATGCTTGTCCTGACTCTCCAAGTGCTCATTCGTTAGCTAGGACCGCCCTCTACCGAATCCAGTAGGTGCGCACGCTCCGAAGTACAGTCATGGCGGAAGAAAATGAGTCCTATTACTTTCCGGACAAACCCTGCATACTCAACCGACTATCTCGGCATTCTGCAACCAGCAAAACATGATGGGGGACTACTTGCAGCTTGCAGCATGCAGACTGAGCGTGCCGTGTCGTTGAGTCATTCCTCCATAGATGGATGCTTTTGTGTATCATGTATAACTAAATCTCATTAATTTTTATCATTGAAGTGCAAAATTTATACAGGGTGAGTTTCTATGATAGGCTGGGTCGATAACATACATTTTTTTTTAATGAAGATATCTAAAATTTAATGCAGATTCGGATCTGATCGGAGTTTGTATGAATGGTTTTTGAGTCACAGTTAAGCTTTTTGTAAATTGGATCTCAAGGTAAATGTTACGTTTTAAAATGAAAATAACGTTCAGTTAGTAACGGCAGATGCTTAAAATTTGTGTATGTTCATTAAAAATTAAATCTACATTGTACAATAAATCGCGAAAATCAAGGAGGGTCATTCTGTTTTTAGTAGCTAAAAAACCAGTTATACGAAGCCTCATAAACCTTATATTGTAAAAAACTGTGAAAATTTACAGGGTGTTCAATTTGAAAACTTAGAGAAATCGTTCATTTTTCGTTCTTGACCACCCTGTATGTGCACAGCCTTCATCGTAAACCTTCCTAGACATTAAAGCCCAAAAATTCTCTATTGGGCGGCAAGCTGTTAGAAATTGCGCACTATGCAAGGATTTTATCTTCAAATTCCGCTTTACGTTTTCCGTACAAGATCCGTCGCTTCCCTTCATTTCAGAATTACTCAAAGTCAAATACTTTTCGGCATGAAAATGAGATTATTTGGACCACTTAAGTGTCCTTCGATATTTAAGACTATTCCTCCCCAATTCCAACGATATCGTGCTCTTAGAAGATCTGTATTGAAGAGCCAGTCTCCTTCTTGACATTCCAACCTGATTTGGTCTTCCACTTTCAGATTCAGACATGGTGTTCCCTGTTGGCACTCCGCTATTGATCGATAAATGTTTCTGCGTGAAAAGTTTTCATTCTGGAATATTCGACAGCTTTGGGTACCTGCCCAACCAACTTGTAGTTACTTTTTCTTATTTCTAATCTATACGGCATCTTAAAGTGAAATACTATAAATATAAATATCATCTGATAGGAAACTAAGTAAACAAACTTTTGTTTCCAAATGCAACTTGATATTATTTTGTGTTTGTTAAAATTGTATGAATTTTGTGCCAAAACTTTTCTCTCCTTCTGAAAGGCTGGGGTGTATTTCCAGATGTCTACTGTTACATGTCAGCGTCAGCGCTCTCCTATTGTGAGACTCTTTTTGAATTGTAAGAAATGTCAGGCTAATATAAATCAAAAGCATGATCAATTTATTGCAAATAGATATTTGTGACGTAACCTCAAACTATAGTGCTAACACGGAACAGTAAAAAACTATGAAAATCAAGGAAGCGATAAAGGCGTCCTCCAATTATTGTAGGAACGACAGACGATACGGCCCTTATACTCATGCTACTGACCCTTTAGATTTGTTGCCCACTGTTTTCAAGAACATGGTTCATTAGGGATACATATACCTATGGTCCATGGCAATCTAGATCTAATAAGTAGATAAGCTATTTACCTGCCGACATATCGGGAATTATTGCTAATAGATTTTCAGCAAGTAAATTTCTCTCTTCACAGCGGCAGGAGCAAACAGACGAACAAATGCGACGTTGCCATCTCCGTTTCCCACTAAATCTACTACTTTTACTTCAAACGCCTGCATGTGAAATAGGAAAATCGTTAAAAGTTCCGAAATCAAGACATTATGCTGTTCTGATATATCAATCACATGAACGGGGTTTTGATGAGGTTTCGACAGTTACCTACTAATTAACCAAAGAAAAAAAAATCGAGTAAGTCAATATGTTAAATACGAAAAATATATAGAATTTGTAGGATAAAATATCCATTTTCCACTCTCGTGGTTACATGAGTATCAAATTCGGTGTATTTATTTATATGGCACCCTGCATTCGAAAATCATCTCAAAAAATGGTGGAAGTCCTGAGGTAGGATTTAAAGTAGGACATTTTTCTAGAGAATCCCAGTTTCCCCAGTTTCAAATTGACATCACATTGCAACATGACGCAAATATGTTTTGATCAACAAGGCAAAGAATGTACTACAAGAAAAAACAAATCAAAATGAAAACGAAAAAGAAAACTGCGTATCTCCGGCGTCAAATTCGAGACACTTGTTGTGATTTGTGCTCATTTTACTGACCCATTCAGCTCGTTGATGATTATTTCAAGAACGCGGTTTATGTTATAATGAATGCCGTTCTAGACAATAGATGAGCTATTTAATTGCCGAGATCAGATCAAGAGTTGCTGATGGATTCTCAGCGAGATAGATTCCTCTCTTAACAGCGACGAGCACAAACAGACGAACAAGTGCAACGAGCCATTTCCGATTTTCAGTAAATCTGCTACTTTTACGTCAAACGCATATTATGTGAAACAGAAAAATATCATAGGCTTTTTTGTTTGCACAGTTACTAATGTGTCAAAAGAGGAAAATTTGAGAAAGTTGATAGGTTAAATACGCAAAATATGTAGGTATTTGTAGGATGAAATATTCTTCTTCCTCACCCGTCGTTAGTTGTGTAATAAACTCTGAATATTTGAGTAATGTGACGCTTTAAATTCGAATATCACCGCTAAGAATCGCGAAAATGCCGTGAAGCATGATTTAATGTAGGAAATGAGTAATTTTCAACATAGTGTCTGCTTGGGATAAAAATTCGATGCTAAATACACAGAAAATGAACTCATATATTTTATATTTGGGCTCCGTAACATTTAAATTCGTGGATCCTTTTGAATAGGATTATCAAAAATACCGAATCAGAATATTTTTCCGAGGAGATACAGAGATAATTCCCAGACTATATTAAATACTTGTTTAATTTGGTACATACAGAGATGGTAGCAGATACATTACACGTTTTTTATTGACAATACAATCCATGGATTTTTTCATGAATTGAGTTTCATGGCCAAGTTTTAGAAGTATAAAATAGTAATTTGACGACAAATAAATGTATGTAGTTCTCCGAGCATTTCTTCACGCAATTAGAACTTGTAAGTTGGACGTCAAACTCCATGGTGCCAAGCTTGTTTTCCTTTCCATTATATTGAGCAACTTCTAAATTAAACAATGGAACTTTGATAGAACTACAGTATTCAATAGAATCGTTGATATTTATGAGATTCGTCTCAAAATCAAAACAACAATACCTACATACAAAAAATCAAAATGTTTCTAGCAAGAATTCGTTGTATGGTTGGCAGCACTCACGTACTCAGATAATTCAACATCCGAAAATTCGTCCATTCGCAAAAGAATCAGTAAACAATTTGTACAGAAAATGTTGATGAAAAACAAGTAATAGACATAGTTAAGCATAAAAACCAAATGTGACATTTAAACTAATGCAGTGATTTCAGGAATTCGAAGGTATTCTTGGTTCCCGCAGCGCAATGCCAACAGCATTGCTTTTGATCGGAAGCTGCTGTCAATCTAAGCACAAACAAATAGGTTGGGCATTCCTGTTAAATGAAGCTAAGCATTATTATCCTCGCAGTAATTAAATTAGCCTGTATATCGCGTGACGATAAATCATCTGATCGTTCGATTTTTTTTTAATGGTACCTATCATCCCACCTTTTGCCGTTGTTTGAATTGATGAACTCACGGCCTGAATTAGACGACGGGCGGTTATCAAGTGAGGTTTAACCCTTAAACGGGCAACGATAGAAGTAGGTCTATATTAAAAGTCCTGACTTAATGTTTTGAACTTTTATTGATCAAATAGAACAGAAAATAACATTTTTCAGATAAAAAAATTGAAATAAAAAAAATACTAGTTGTATCTTCGAATGCACATTGCCTCTAGGAGGAACATGATTACTTGGAATGGTAACTTGTGAAGCAGTTTCTCTGATTAGCTCCTGATACGATGCATAAGCGCAAATTACATTTTTGACATAAAATTGTTGTTTGTCCATTTGTGCAAAGCCTACAGCGGCCTTTTTCAGTGAAAACTGGAAAGTGTCCAACGTTGTCAAACCGGACATCTTCAGTAGGCCGTGGAGCGACGGGAACTTTTATTTTGTTTTGAGGGAGCAAGTTTGCTTTTTCTGGGTACGTTACGAGATTGAATCAAAGACTTTGCGATGTTTATTCTGAAGTCTTTGAGCTTATTATATTTCTTGCCTTGTGATGATAGATCTCTCCGATACAGTAGCCAGGCATTATTGACAGCTATATCAATCATCTGACTAAACATAGCGAGATACCATCGCTTTGATTTGAAGGGAGTCTTGTACAGTGAAAGCAGCGTATCAGATAAGTTTACGCCTCCCATATGAATGTTGTACTGTTTGACTATTTGAGGGCACTGAACGTTTACCTTTTTCTTTTGTTCTTTACTAAATCGGCTAACTTCAAACACTGGACTGTGCGAAATGTACGAACTCGCCAGAGTCACACATTTAGTGTCTGCCCATTTTATCACCGCTAGTCCCACGGAATTGTCTACTCTGTAATCAAAGCTACCTCTCCCCTTCCGTAGAAGTTCTTTGTCACTTAGCAAGGGACATCCTCTAAGTCTGTTGCTTCTAATGGTTCCCAAACTTGCCAATTTTTTATTTTTCTTCAAGTATTCAATTAGTTCCAATGAACAAAAGAAGTTATCAAAATAGACGAAAGACTCTTCTGGTTTCTGAATTGTTCAGCACAGGACAAGTACCACTTTTGCACCAAGTCGCATTTGTTGTTCCTCCTTTGAAAATAGAATTTCGTCAAAAGAACTAGAGCCGGTATAGATGAGAAAGTCTTGCACAATTCCTGACACGCCTGCTCGAACGAACATCTTGAACCCCCACTTCTTTGGCTTTTTAGGCATATATTGGCGCAGACTTCCAGCTTTCTTGCCTTTGTAAGCAATCATCATTTCATCTATAGAAAACAAACCTTCCTCTTCGATAGCTATACATTTTTGTCGCAGTTTTTCTATAAGGGGGCGAATTTTGAATAATCTATCTCCTTGCGGATCAGTATTGTTATCCTGAAAGTGTATGCGTCTTCGCAATTTCTTGAAGCGCTTTACAGGCATAACATCGGCAATAATACTATATCTCGTTTCTATGGCCCAGTAGTCTTCGATTGCTGGCATTTGGACTACCCTCATTATCAACTCAATTCCTACAAACGATCTTATTTCATTAACTGTAGTATCAATAGAACGCCCAGTTGTCAGTGTGGAGTGAATATTCGTTTGGTGTGCAATATGCTCAAACAAATCGTCGTCAAAAATTTTTTCGAAATAAGCCAGAGGGGAATATTCTCCGTCTACTCCAGCAAAAAAGACATCTTTTGGATATCTGATGTGTTGGAAATCTGTTTTGCTCCAAGTGTAACGTTTATCACCACCTGGTATAGCATTATCTCTCGATGTTTGCACAAAATTCGCTAAAGGTAAATCATCTTCTGATTCACAGTCGCTTGAAGTATCAACTACTGGTAAGCATTTGCGCTTCTTAGATGTGGGCGGCTGCTGATAATCGGGGTCCAAATCGCTATAGTCTCCGCCAAACAGCTCCTCCTCATCTGATGATTTGCCAACGTCTGATACACATGGATCGTCCGGTGGTAGCACAGCAACAATATGTGGAATATTTGCTGCTTTTCCGTAAAATATGCGGGGAGCGATACCCTGAAACAGTTCTTGAAGTTACCATGTATTCTAACATAAATTACGTATCAAATGCCTTACGTTATTTTTAATGGGCAATGTGCATCTAGGGATACACACATTTATAAGACAAAAACTTACCTCAAAAATTTATTCAAAGGAAAACTAAAGCAATGAAGCCTCAAAGGAAGCATCAGCTTTCATAGTTATATAATTACGAACACACCAGAGGCTGTAATAACTAATTTGTACTATATTGAGCTTACCGGGGTCAAAACTAGTTGATTATCCATAACAATGACAGAAAGTACCACCTACCATGGGGACAACTGCAAATAAAATGAACCGGCATAGGCGACACAACGTTGCTAGTAAATGTATCTCACACTATACACCGCCCAATTCGCTACATTTTAATGGGTTTTTAAATACATGCCAGTACCATGTGACCGTATCTCGGGAGAGACATCGACCGTTTAAGGGTTAAGTAATTGCTGGACTAATTGACATCATTTCATTAAATTAAGCTGAAGTGAATGTTTCGTCCCATAAAATACGGTGTTCAATCAGTCCCGATATGAGACGAGGAGTCCCAAGGGAGCAATCATTTTCTTTCCCAAATTAGGCCCCACGGCCATCGTTACCCAATTATACCAAGTTTCATTTTACGGAACACGAAAATGGAATTTTTGCTCTACAAATCCATATTTCAAATAACAGAATATTCGGTCAACTTCATGAATCACGGATGAAAGTGATACTCACATATACGTGTATTTTTTTGCACTGCATCAAGTCTCTCATCTGTAAGTGCTTCGTGTTCTGTGTCAGTGACGTCTATGTCTGTCACGACAGTCAATTGTCATTGGTGTCATTCAAGGCGTGTCGCTTGGCCGTTTTCTTGTTGGATATTTTTATTATATTCCAGGAATACAACAATCATTTTAAATAAATCCATTAACTAAAGATGAGTCGAAGATACGACGACAACGACTACAAGCATGGTAAACCTGACCTTTCAATTAAAACACAACTCTTTCGTTCACCAACCGTCCAGTTTATCCAGTCTCATTACAAAAAATACTCTTTATTTAAAATACCTTAAATTTGTCAGTGTTTGCTAGGTTCGCACAGAGTAAAGAAGGAGAGGTCCCGATCTCGCTCTCCCAGACGGAAAGACGACAAGCTAGACGTGAAAAAAGAAATCAAAGTCGAGTCTCCAACAGCTGCAGAAAATATTAAAACAGAAAAGCAAGAACAGAAAGTTGTGGAAAACGTTGGCTTGGGAGCTAAAAATCGATTGAAGAGCATGAGTATACAGATTAAATTAGGTAGTATGAAGAAAGAAAAACAGACTGTAAAGCCGAAGCTTACTGTAGCAGCTGCTTTTAACCAGGATAGCGATAGTGAACCAGAGGAGATGCCTCCTGAAGCCAGGATGAGAATGAGAAATATTGGAAGGTACAATAATGGTTTTTTGGACTCTTTCAGGGAAAATAACTTGTTCATCATAAGTGTGAAATTGTTTAAAATATGTGATGATACTTAGAACTTTCATCAACATTTTTCTTTTAGATTTAGTAAAACAACTCTCATATGCTTGAGAATTATCTATGTTTCAGTTTGATATGCTATTAAAATGTGTTCTTAGTTTTCTTAACTATAATTTACTGAATTTTAAGTCTTAAAATGACAACAAAAGTATTTATAATCCAAATTTATATCCTTTCAAGATTTCTAATATTTTTTAAATTTCGCGATTTCCAAAAATCTTTCAAAATTTCCATTTTTTTAAATTTATGAATCCTCAAATTATTCTATAGATTATCGCATTTTCAAATTTTAAAAATTTTCAAATACAATTTTTTTCCAAGATTTGCCATGAGCCGTTGGCCCCTATGCAAATTTTCTGTGTAATCAGACTTCTTGACATTGCTGAAAATTCTGTTACCTATACCCTATTTCAGGAATATCCATCACAGTATAATGACAGCTGATTATCTAGTAATATCTCAAAATTCCCCATATCGGCACAGGACACATCATTCTGACGGATCCGTCAACGCCAGTTAGACAGAGCCGAATTTTGTTTTGGTTTTTTGTATGCTACAGATTCGTTTTGTACTTGCTAACAGCTCTTTTATTCAGAAAAGTTCATTTACATAGCTAAAACAAAACACCACAAACAAGTTTTACTAGACTTATACCCGATTGCTGATCATCTGTTCACCTCCGAAGACGTCATAGCGTGATGGTTCCTCGTGAAAAAGACCTATTTCACGAGCATCTATCACGCTTTGACGTTTACTGATTGGAACAGCTGATCAAGTGACATTTTTGTGTTAGTCTGCAATGTTGGCAATAATAAATCGGGTGTAAATCTAATAAAACTCGTTTGTAGCGTTTTGTTTTGCATGCAAATTATCTTTTCTAAATAAAAGAGCTGCTATCAAGTACAAAATGAATCTGTAGCATACAAAAAACCAAGACAAAATTCGGCTCTGTCTACCTGGCGTTGACGGATCCGTCAGAATGATGTGTGCTGTGCCAATATGGGGAATCTTGGGATATTACTAGATAATCAGCTGTCATTCTGCCGTGATGGATACTCCTGAAATAGGGTATACAGGTTAAGCTAAGGGAAGTGTTGCACCATGCCCTTATATAAAATTAAAAAATTGAATATTCGAAGGTGTGTCAATTTTGAACAAAAATTGCAAACATTGCGCTTTTAAAGAAAACTCACCAACTCAGACTTGTTCATTTTTCTAGGGATACTCCAACATCATCAGGTCCAAACTCTTTTGGAAAGACAAAGCAAGGTTTTTCAGATGCTAAGAAAATGTTTGAGAAAAACCTAAAAGAAGCCATGGAAAGTGCTATGGCTGATGACTGAATAGAAAAAATTTTTGACCACAAAAATGTAACTGTGGGGTTTGATAAAAAAAAGTAGAAAAGTCTAATCTTGATATTAACCCTAGAGAGCTAACCCTCTTTTGACTTTCACTTAAGAATAACCATTCGTAAATTTTACGATTTCATTTTCAAAACGTTGTAGCAACTAAATAGCAAAAACATTAAAACAAAAACCTCACTATATGAATGAAATGGGTTTATTTGTGTAAAATTTAACAGTAAATGGTATTTATTCAGTTAACACTGCCGCACACCGAGCAAAGTAAGGCGCGATGTTCCAAACAAAAAGCCCGTTGGCATTGTTCACATTTGTTAGTGGTCATTCTTCTTTTCTTGGATGGGCATATTTGGCAAATAGCTCTACCCGATACTCCCGGAGTTGCTCTTTCTTGTACTGGTTCCACTTTGAGAATACTACCAATGGTTGATCTGATTGAGCGCTGCAAACTTGGCATTTGTATTCTATGCTTCATCCAGGGCGTCATCAGCTCACGGCTCAATCCAATCATAAATTGTCTTCTGTTATACGGTTTTTTGCTTGCTTTATGCATATTGTGATCATTATTCACAAATGCGTTTATGGATGCAATATTTATCATTCCATAAAAAATGCAGAGTGGCCAACGCTTGGTTTTGCGTGATGTGGACATGTGTCCACACATCTGGTCAAAGGTATCAACACCCCCTTTTGTGGCGTTGTAAAATTCAATCATGTCTGGCTTTCCACTTTGTTGGCATATCAAGGAGCTTCCAGAATGCATAGTGCTCAATAGAAGAACATTTTTATTTCGCTTGGGAACAAACGAAAGCAATGTTTTCTGTTTGTCAAAACAATATCTGGCATCACCAGCAGGACGCTTTCTTGTAGAAAGCATTTGTGGGGGAATTTCACGCTTATTTTTTCTGATGGTTCCCACCATGGTAAAATTATATGGATCGTCTAGAAGGTCATCGGCAATTTTGATGGACGAAAACCAGTTATCCATAGTGATATTACGATTTGCGCCCGATATTGATGATGTCAATGTTTTTACATAATGTTCTGCCACAGGCATATTATTTGTATTAGTTTTTTTACCAATATATGGACTAGCATCTACCATATATTTAGTACCAGAATCGCAAATCATGACTATCTTTATACCGTATTTTGCTGGTTTATTCGGTATATATACTAAGTGACATATAAATCCGAACACCCAGTTTAAATGGTTTTATTTTAATAAAATCTTGTATAAATACTTAATGAAGCATAATAAGTAAATGATAAAAATTTCAAAATGATTGCACTGCTTTAAAGCCCTTTGACCTTTAATAATGTGTGGATGCACTCCGATGTGCTACGCATTCTCCAACGCGCCTAGGCATGCTTCTGATCAGGTGGTCAATGTCCTCCTGTGGTATCTCATTCCAGGCAACCACCAACTCCTCTCGAAGTGCTTCTAGAGTCTGAGCAAATTGAGCAATCTCCTACCCATCATATCCCACACGTGCTCAATTCGGGATAAGTCGGGAGATCTTGGTGGCCATGGTAACAATGTGACATCACTATGTTGAAAGAAGTCTATTGTGACTCTTGCAACATGTGGTCGGGCATTATCTTGTTGGAAAGTTGGATCTGCCAGGGTGTCATGATAGGGTAAATGATGGGGTCCTAGAACTTCGTGGATATAAAGCTGCGCGTTCATGTTATCTCTGATGAAGATTAAAGGTGACCTGGAACCATAAGCTATAGCACCCCAAACCATAACTCCAACAGTGTGATGAACATGTCTTTCAACAAAAAACTGTGGATTCCTCCTTTCACCACGTCGCCTTCTAACCCTGGCACGACCATCGTGCATGCCTAAACAAAATCGAGACTCGTCACTAAAGACAATACTGTTCCATTCCTGATCCCACAGTGACGGTTGTCTGCACCACTCAAGGCGATTACGTCGGTGTAAGGGTCAAGTGAATACGCGCATCGTAATATTTACGAATGGTTATCTTTCTAGGGTTAAAGATGTCATTTTATTTATCTATCTATGATTTTGTTTTTAAGCCATAAAAATGTGTATGTACATCATGCTATTTTTTTTATTTTAAAGGCTAGAAAAAAATCTGTATGAGATAAACACTGTTTCGGTAATGCTTTTTCATCACACCCTACATAAGATTTTTAGGTATGTAATACTAAAATACTGTACAGCTCTACATATTATTTCCTATGCGTAGTTATATTAATGAATTACTGCAAGTCTACCTTTTGTCATTCTCATCAGATTGTTAAACTATGTTATTTTTAAGTATTTAACTATTTGCTTTAGGCGTTTAAATATATTTAAAAACATACAAGTCCAAATAAACTTTTATTAATTTATATTCATGATGTGTGGTAAAAGTTAAAAATAAATGAAGTAGTTGTTGAAAAATTGTTTTATTGAGAGGCAAAGTATAGACAGATAAAAATTTGCTAAAAATAGTGAAGCACATAGTAAGTGACATAAGTTTAGTACATGCACAAGAGTGGGTATAGATAAAAGTATATGAAACCAAGACTAATAAAAAAATAAAGATATCTTTGGTAAAGTATAGTGGAACTAGAAAAGATTTATCTATCAGATACTGGGAAATCAGCATGCCATCCGAAAGCCCCATGGTTGCCAGTGTGGGCCCCAAAATCTACAGCTTCTGGATCATAGTGACCTCTGATGTGCCTCTGTGGCCTATTTTGGTCGTCTACAGGTAACCTATAGGCAACCACCATTGCGAGGGCGCATAGGAAAATACAAATTTCTGCAAACTAAAACAGAAATATGAGAATACAGTTATTCGTTTTAATATAACGACTTACCAGTTTCATGCTCTCTTAGGAATGACTGAACATTGTTGGAAAATTTGACTCATATTTATATCAATCCAGCTTTCTCTATAGCCACAAAAAAGAACCTGGTTCTCATAAAAATACTTTCCCATTAATGTAATATTTAATAGAAATCTGTTCGCGTATATAACTTTCAATAGAATGAGATATTTTTTTATATTAAGCCACTCGTTCAAAACGCGTAAAATTAACTTTTTTATTGTGCACGATTTGCGCTGTAGGCAGGTAGGACATAAACAGAAGAAATCATTCAATATTACATATAAATTTGATAATCGTAAAATTTCCATCGTTTTCTAGTGCCCATCACAAAACACATAAGTTTGAATAATGTCAATGTAACTTTGAATCCACTCAGAACATTGTGACTGACTACCCATTTGCTTATTTACATAAAGAATAAGTTCAAATAGACTCCATCCCTCAGAATAATGATCTAGAATGTGTAGAATTGGTCTATAATTTTCCTTTTTATTAAAATAGAGCAGTCGCAAAGAAAATGTCGGTTTATATAAGTTTCTTAATAATTATGAGTTTCTTGTACATAAACATCCACAATTTGTAAAGCCTAGGGATAGAAAACTACTACTGCAAAGTGGCAAATGAATGCCAATTCTCTCTCTCTCTGACAGATACGCAATATGATGAGCACAATAATTATTTAATATATTTATTAATACTATCAGCGTTTCGATTTATTTAACAATTTAATCTTTTTTAAAATCAAATCATCACTGTAACAACAGCGGCTAGGCAACACATTATGCATCGTAGAATTGGATTGTAAGTGGAAAAGAGCTAAGTAAAATATGATGGCGTATTGTAATACTTTTTTCTTAAACGTTTAATCCTTATAGAATAATTATACTGTTTCGTGATCTTACTCCTATAACCTCACTCATCCACGTGTTTACATGTTTTCAATTCAAAAATAAAAAGGTAGGTTTTCCATTTGTTGTAATATTATGGCTAAGTTGAATGCAAAAATGAACGGACAGCCTAAAAAGAAGGTTTTAGTCACGAAGAAACTTAAAGTTCCGCTGAAAGCAAAGGCTTTAAAACTTAAAATAAATAGTAAAAAGAAAAAAGATAAAATGGTAATTCCAGTCAAACTTGGCAATGGAACAAATGATGAAGATTACGATTCAGAAGAATTATCTGAAAGTGAGCTGATGAAAGACAGTGAAAGTGAAGAAGAAATTAATGGACAACAGCAAAATGAGTCCAATGAAAATAGTGATGATGAAGCAAATGAAAGTTCAAATGAAGATATAGTGGAAAAGCACAAAAAAGACCTGGAGAAATTGAAGGAAACTGATCCAGAATTTTACGAGTTTCTTAAAGAAAATGACAAAAAGTTATTGCAGTTCAATTTGTCTGATGAAGAGCCAGACAGTGAAGCGGAAGAACCAGAAGCTGTTCCTGAGCAAGTTCACAAACCAAGTGAAAACCTTGAAGTAGCTAGTGATGAGAGTGATTATGAAGTAAGTAATAGTGATTTTTTGCACTTAAAATTCTCTGAATTTTCACACAAGTTTCTGTTATCCTGTACACTTACACAAGTTTCTATGATCTCTTTGTGAACTTTTAGATATGTTTGTCTGATCTTGTCCTCTTTTGTACATTTTTCTCTGAGTCCGTGTGCTTTTGCGTATTTATATTCCCATGATCATCAGTTTGTTTGTACAACATGTTGGCTGTCAGTCAGCAAACTGATATTCGGCAACAAGTCATGCTGTTGCTGACTGTATATATTGGGTACATGAGAACGTTATGTGTTGGCTGAGGGAGCTTGGACCAATTACTGACAACTGATCCATTGTTCATACAGAAACTTCTGTTTGATGACTGTCAAATGAGTCAGCAGATTATTGTCCAGTAAAATGTCAGAACTCGAAATTAAGTACACTCATTATTTGAATGTAACATAAGGATGTTGCAAGCAGCATGAGGTAGACACTTTCTAGAAAAAATAACTGCACAAAAAATGTCAGGTAGATTTACTCAGTAATTCTCATTTAAAAAGTATGGACGTAAATTCGGAGGACTGTGATTTGACACATCGAATGACAAGTTGAAGAAGAAAAAAGTTTTAGGGAGGGGGGCGTAGTGGCTGACTGTCTTTGAAAATGGCAGACTGCCAGGCTGTCAAACTTTGTATACTGTACTAAATATAAAGATATTTTCTTAAACTATCGGCCTATATAACAATGATGCTGACTTTGAAAAAATAAAATTTTCCCTATATGTGAAGACTCTCACTGAAAGAAAGAAGTAAAAATACTACAAGGATTTAATAATGTCTTTGAAGAACAAAGGGTGAATATAGACTAAAAAGCTAAGATGGATGTGCGTAATTACAATTACCAAGATCTGCTCACATACCTGTGAGTTTCATAGAATTCCCAACATTGACAAAATGAAATGAGAATAGGGAAATACAAAAACTCAAGGGAAAACCATAATTCAAGTCGCGTTTTTGTCCTTCAGACACACTACAAGCAGAAATATAGATAAATATAAGTATCTGAAATTGGCAAGTTCATCTTCATGACAACTAGCAACACAGGTAGGAACAAAGTAATCGTGTAATTCCGCATCTTGTAACTGTAACCAACATTTTGGAAAGATTAGCGCTCACAAAAAAAATTATTATTTATCATGTTTGAAAGTTTTGCATTTCTGCCATTACAGGACCAATAAACAAAATATTGAGCATGAATCACTTTGATGTTTACACTGATTTGACATTGCATCAAATATGAATACATATATTTTTAAATGCATATTGAAAACAGAGAATTTTATATTAGATCTTTAGTCCTATAAAAAACTTAAAGTGGGGACAACTTATATAGCTGAATATACATATAATCTACTTAACAGCAACAATGCAGCACCATCACTATGACAACAATTTCAGGAAATCTATTTTTTATTGTAGAAATACTGTTTTGTCCTATATTTTTCTTCTTCTGTTGACCATTTTATGATTTCTGGTGCCAGACTACTCAAAAAGTTGGTCAATCTGTATACAGGGTGTTCCATAATTATTGCGACAAAATGATAGGGGTTGTAGAGGGCATAAAAATATGCAATTTTGCCTTATAAACCCCTGTTCGTAAATATGCCGTTTGAGCACTACCGCTAATTTTACCTTAAGAGAAACAAAAAATTCAACAGCTGCAAAATGTTCGTCTAGCACATTTCATGGTCTCGCCGATTTGTAAAAAAAAGCCTGCTGTGTTTACATTTTTGTTATCGTAAATTCTCCACACCGATTCATTTAATTTATCTGAGTGGTGCGTCAAACTAGAGGCCAATCCGCGTACAAGCGTGCGTGCTATTGCACATGAAATGGGAGCGTCTCAATCTACTGCTTGGCGGGTTCTCCATGACCAGCAACTACACCCATACCACCTTTTAAAAGTCCAAGCCATGGGTCCAGAAAACTATCTGCCGCGTCGACGTTTTTGTCGTTGGTGGCTGCAGCAGGAGTTGAGGCAATCAAACTTTGGTCGCTACGTTTTGTTCACTGACGAGTCCTGTTTCACAAAGGAAGGTTATTTTAATAGCCGTAACAGTCACATTTGGGATGAAGAAAACCCTCATGCCATAGCCATCCATAGAGACCAACATAGTTTTCAATTAACATCTGGTGCGGCATTGTGGACGAGCATATCATCGGGCCATATTTGCTTCCACCACGTTTGGATGGGCATGCTTATGGTCGATTCTTACAGCATGTGCTACCGGAACTATTAGAAAATGTGCCACTGAACATAAGAGCCAACACGTGGTTTCAACACGATGGCGCTCCAGCCCACTTTTCTTTACAAGTGCGGCAGTATTTGGACGACAAATAGGTGGATCGGCCGAGGTGGCCCTGTGCCTTGGCCTGCGCGGTCACCCGACCTGACCCCACTGGATTATTTTCTCTGGGGCCATCTGAAAGCTTTAGTGTACGAAACTACTGTTCCCAACCAACAAGAGCTACTGGGAAGAGTGATGGCCGCATCCGCACATGTTCAGGACAAACCGGGGGTATGCCACAGAGTTCGCCGATCATTGAACAATCGTGCACAGGTGTGTATTGAGCAAGGTGGAGGACACTTTGAGCAATTACTGTAGGTAAGCTGTTTCAAGAAACTGATCTTTTTTTTTTGCTGCATCCCAAACGGCATATTTCCGAACAGGGGTTTATAAGGCAAAATTGTTCATTTTGATGCCCTCTACAACCCCTATCATTTTGTCGCAATAATTATGGAACACCCTGTATAGGATACTCACAGAAACATTGAACCTATCAGCTACATTCAAGATGATAAAAATATACAGGTTTCTTATACAGAGTAAGTTTTCCATATGGTGCTGCCTTATGTTTAAAATGGAATTTCACTCAATTTTTTTCTGCGACTGTCTTGGTCGAACTAGGAAAAGCCTCCTCATTCTCCCACAATCTCGATACACTAGGACCTAGGAGCGGTCGTATCGGCCAGTTCTGGATGTACAAAGTTCGACACCTTCAGGATGGGAGGCTGAAATCGGGCGAGTCTGTCTGATAGGCTATCACGCGGCAGCATCAACGAGGAGAGCTCCGAGGAGCAACGCTTTTAACTTAGCGGTAGAAAAGAGCTAGATCGCCGACGGCCTACCGGTGCGAAAATGTCTCCAGACTGTCCGTTAGAGAAGAGTCATCAATCAGTATTTGCCTTTTGCGAAGCAATATTAGTTCTCAACATAGTTTCGACTCATTTAGATACCTGTCACTGTCACTGACTAGCTGTCGGCAAACAGTCAGAAACTGTATGAACAGGTAACATCTCTCTGATCCTGATTTTGATAGTCATCGACAAGTTACCGACTACTGTATGAACAAACCACATGTGCATTTTTACACAAGTTTTTCAGATCCTGTGCATTTTGACACAAGTTTCTCTGATCCATTGAACTTTGACATATGTTTTTATGATTAAGTACACTTACATAAGTTGTTCAGATTTTTATGATCCTGTGCGTACTTCTATCCTGGCACTTTTGCATGTCTCTTTGACTCTGCACTTTTACATAAGTTTCTTTTAAGCTCTGCATTTAAATTTTCTTTCTTCTAAATAATCCAAACATAAAATGGTCTATTTCAGGATGGTGATAAACCAAAAAATGAAAGGGCAATTACACTAAAAATGTTAAAACAGTGGCAATCAGAGTTGAGAACAGACAAAAGTAACAAAACCATTATAATTGCCACTCAAGCATTTCATGCTGCTTTAACAACTGTATCTTCAGAAGACGAAGAACCCTCATATTTTAAAGTTGAAGGTAGAAATAACTTTTTTAAAATTGTTTTATTATTTATTTGTTGAACACATTACCAAAGATTTGAATGATCAAGAGGAAGTTGCATTTGAGTTAGACAATTCAATCACATATCCAGTGTTTGTCCGGAAAGTAATAGGACTCATTTTCTTCCGCCATGACTGTACTTCGGAGCGTGCGCGCACCGACTGGATTCGGTAGAGGGCGTTCCTAGCTAACGAATGAGCGACTGGTCAGTTGTCTCCGAGCATTTGGAGAGTCAGGACAGGCATTTTCGCACGACGCGTTTCTGCGAGTGGTGCAAGCCGAAAATGCAGCGTTTGTTAGAGCAGAGGTACGCGATTAAATTCTGTCTGAAACTCGGTAAATCTGCGACAGAGACGTTTGATATGATCAAGCAGGCTTACCCAGGTGTAGCTTTAGCAAGAAGTGTTGTGTTTCTGTGGCACCAGGCCTTTTTGGAGGGCCGGGAAGAGGTCGCTGATGAAGACCGTGCTGAAAGACCTTCGACTTCGACAAACACCGATAATGTAACTCGTGTACGTAAAGTTTTGAACTCAGACCATCGACTAAGTATTCGTTTAATTGCAGAGATGTTAAATTTACCAAAATCTGTGGTTCATGACATTGTGACACAGCATTTGAACATGCGCAAGGTGTGCGCGAAGATGGCCCCAAAAGTGCTCACTGACGACCAGAAATTGCGGCGAGTGGAAGTGTGCCAAGAAAATTTGAACATGTGTAAAAGTGACCCCCAATTTTTGAATAACGTAATCACAGGTGACGAGTCGTGGATCTTTGAGTATGATCCCGAGACAAAAAGGCAATCTTCCGAGTGGCACACGACGGCGTCTCCTCGCCCAAAAAAGGGAAGAATGAGCAAATCCAAAGTGAAAACGATGCTATTGTCTTTTTTGACATCAAAGGCATCGTCCACCATGAATTTGTTCCTTCTGGACAAACCGTCAACGCCAAGTTTTACGTGGAAGTGCTCAGGAGACTCAAACGAAAGATCAGTCGGGTCCGACAAGACATCGCAGCCGACTGGAAGTTGTACCACGACAACGCCCCGGCTCACACCACCTTTCTTGTGAACACCTACCTGACCAAGGCCGGCATCCCACCGCTTCCGCAGCCGCCCTACAGCCCAGATGTGGCCCCCGGACTTTTTTTGTTTCCTCGCCTGAAAAGGCCGATGAAAGGCAAGCATTTTGAGACGACAGAGGGGATCCAAGCAGCATGTACCGCGGCTCTCAAGGCTATTCCGGAGAATGCCTTCCGTGACGCCTTCAATGCTTGGAAATCGCGTTGGCAGCGCTGCATTGACGCAGAAGGAGCCTATTTTGAAAGTTTTTAAAGAATTGTAACGATTGGCTCAATCAATTTTTTTAAATCGACTCAGTCCTATTACTTTCCGGACAAAACCTGTACCTAAAATATTTACTCAAGTGAATCCCTGTTGCTGTTAATTTTGCCATAATCATTTATTTAGGTTCTGCTGTTTTTAATGGAGTTATTCAATTATGTGTATTGGAACTGGGTCCTGCAATCAGGAAATTTTTGGGCCTCAAGAAAGGCTCAAAACAACCACCACATAAATGCAAGAGGTTTGTGAAAATCAAGAATTCATTGAAAAGTTATTTTGCTGATATTCTAAAGGTAACATGCTCACAAAATTAAGAATGTACAGCTTTAAAATAAAACTATATATAATCTGCTAATCTCTGTACTTGAAAAATTCAGACATGTCCACTCATAGACAAAATACTTGGATATGCTGTTTAAAAAAACTAAGTAGTAGCTGTAGTGGTAGACCTTCTTGAAATATAGTATTTTTCTTTTAGCTGCTACTGGGAGTAACTTCAACTAACATCCAGACAGTTCTTCTGAAGCACTTGCATTATATGTCCAACTTGCTAGTGTCCTTCCCCAATATCACAAAATCTCTTGTGAAAAGACTAATAGGACTTTGGGGCACTAGTGATGACACAGTCAGAGTCCTTGCATTTTTCTGCATTCTCAGGATAACCAGTCAACAGATGGCCATATTGGACACAGGTGAGATTCCCTAAAAAAGTGCACAGACACTTCTAAAAACCGATTTTTTCTTAAAGGATATACTGTGTGGTTATAATAATAGCTGCAATGTTTTTATAGCAGAAAGTAGATAAAAAAAACATGAAAAAATTGTATAAATATGCTTGGTCTTTAATGCCTCCTTCCTGACATAAGTGGAAGTTTTAATTTTGAAATTGAAAAATGTCTAATGGGTCAAGCTATTCACTTATTGACTACATGTTGTGCTAGCAACATAATCAATTCATAAAAATACTTTGTATATTGAGACACCAGTGACGTAGAATTTGGGAAATGCTGTCACCTACAGAAGAAAAAAGACAATTATTTGTGACGTCAGTGGCTTTTTTTAAATATCTATTGCATATTTGAATAAGGCAGTCAATTTATGAATCTCCTTTCTTGAGAAATGTTCATCAGACCATCATTTCAGAGAAAAATTGGATTGAATATTTGAGATAGAATCAGTATAAAAAGCTTCGATTCATGCTTCTGTGGAAAAACGCTGAGGGTAGTAAATGTTGAGATTGAAAATTGTAGGTAGTGTATTAGGAGAGTAATCCCATCTCACCAGGGGGCGAACAGGGACAAGGCCTCTCGTGAGAACCCGGTTGTACCTTGAAATTTAAATGTTTTTAGCATTTTGTGAATATTTTTGGGGATTTTTAGGACATGGCCCTCCTTGGTAAAATTGGCACCCTCCACTATTCAAGTTTTGAGAGCAGGTAAACTGTCACAAAAAGTCTTGCCGATGATGGACCTTCCCTGAGAAACATTCGTGCAAGCGCCCATGTCTCGGCATAACGTTATTTGATTAATATTTATATTGTAACTACTTACCGGCATGCCCTCCCCTGTGAGGTGTTAAGTCACCTGATTCACGAGCCCTTTGTACTACATTAACAAAGGCACGAGGGGTTGGTTGCACTCGATTGGAAACTCGATCGGATCCGCATAAATCCGTGATGCCGCGGCAGCATGTTGTAAAGACTCCCCCCCCCGTAAATAAGAATCATGTCCAAAAGTTCAGCATTTTCGTAAACATGTGCCATTTTTTATTTCGTTTGAGCCACGCAACAAATACCACTATTCACTCACGCGTTACCGACTGACACATTTACTGAATACAACTGAATAAAATTGTAGTAAAAACATGATAAGCGTTTCAAATTCTTTCGCTTTTTTGTTTCCGATGCGATGAACCGATAGGGCGGATTATATCCGTTGTTGCCAAACACGAGCACATAATATTATTATTGAGTCAGTGCGGTACTCAAACTTCTAAAGGGCTATAACTTTGTTACTTTAATTTTACCACAAAAATGTTAAAGGAAAAAAACATTTCTTTTGATCAGATCTACTCACTGTTAAAATAAATGACTCAACTTCGAAAATCACCCTGCATATTATCAAAATATTCAAATATTTTAAACCTATAACACCCTGCTACATTTTTATTATTTGTGTTTGATAAGAAAAAAAAATAAGATTTCAATAGTTGGGCCAACTGAAGTGGGAAGGGGCTCGTATATCCATATGAACTATTTTCCATTATTCTTGTATATACTTGTTTAATGAATATTGTGATTGTCTTTTGAATCGCTCTGTATTTGTTTTAGTTAAATACTACATGAAGCATGCCCTCTAAATATTTTTGATACCCTGATTTTTTTAGTGTTAAAGTCCATGTACATGACGTACGTGAAAAACACAAAATTCGTGAGTTTCAAAGGTCTTCCGCTGATAAACTTCATGAGAAGATCCTTGGTAGAAATGTACTCCTTGGACACGAATGTTTCCTACTCTCACGTTTTCTTGTACATACGACAACTGGCTATCCACATACGAAACGCAATCACTGCAAACAAGAAAGAAAATATCCAAGCTGTGTACAACTGGCAATTTATAAACTCATTGAGGATATGGAGCAACCTTCTAAGTGCCACTTACAATAAGCCAGTGATGCAACAGTTGGTTTATCCTTTTGTACAAGTTTGTATTGGTACCTTAAGGTTGGTGCCAACAGCTCAGTACTATCCTTTGAGGTTCCATGTGGTTCAAGTTTTGATGGATTTATCAAAAGAAACTGGAGTTTTTATGCCTGTTTTGCCGTTTTTGCTTGAGGTGAGTCGATATTGGTGAATCTTGTAGCAATGATTGAAGGTAGATTATAAACTGTGACGTTGCCGAACCACCGGCATACCATTACCGTAACGCTGGCAGTTAAAATCAATTTATAAACTTGCTATCGTTACGGCGCGTGACGCATAACCTCACCCAAAGTTGCATTCTTTATCACATATGAGATCAGTAAATTTAGCAATGAGATTCAAAAAGTAGCGTTCTATTTGGCAACACTGGAGGCGGCGGGCTTGGAAGGGAGTCAGGGAACATATAATCCGTCTTCAGTACAAGTTTGAACTCGCTCGATTCATTTGGTTGTCTGTGGCGATAACAGATTGTGTCCTACAAATCAGTGTCATCAAGTTCGATTGCTCACCCTTGCGGGTGAGCTATCAGGTTTTACGTCAGACTTGGGTACAGTATAGGAGTTCCAGTACTGCTATGAGGAGTGGAAGAACCGTCTCCAGCTCTGTGCGGCTGCAGAAGGAAGTTATGTTGAGGGTGGTGACAACATTAAATTGTGATTATATTTGAATACAAAAATTAAAAACATCAGTCGCATTACTTAATTCACAGACCTCGGGCACTGGTATTTTCTACCTACGCTTAAGTTTATTACTCAAACATACAAGTTTCCTCAAAAATAAAATTTTGACGTAAAAGTTCCATGTGTTTAACATTCAAAATTTTCTAAAACTCTTGCGTATTTTTAGTATGCTATAGTATTAGTAGACACAATAAAAGAATTGAAATTTTCCAGGTTTTGACGTCATACGATTTCAACAAAAAGCACCAGAAAGTCTCGATGAAACCGATGCATTTCACATGTTTACTGAGGGTCTCAAAATCACAGTTACAAGAGAATGGATTTAAAGATATGGTGATCGAGACAATTTATGGACAAATTTTGGAATATATGGCCAGTCAATCACACAAAATATCTTTTCCTGATATCTGTTTGATATGTGTTGTACAGGTAAGTCAATGGTTTTCTTCTCTTTCACAACCCTTAAGGATCTTTTACTTCCTATTATGAGCCGTTTTACGCACAAGAGAATTACTCCGAAAATTATGGTCATAATTATGTTGAAAATTTGCATGGAAAAAATATTGAAGATTTTCTCTACAACCTGTATGACACAAGCAAACAAAATTTCGGAGTAATTCATATGATACGCCTGCGCATTAGAGTTATATTTTCAAATGGACATAACCTTAACGGGTATGACGTCCAATATAATCGGAAAGACAACAGATGTCGATAATTTAAATTTGTTTTTGAAATCGAGATCTTGGTTAATATTATAAAACTTCTCAATGCTTGGACTATCGCATCCAGCGCCTGACGCCGCAAATTTCTGTTTTTGTAATTGGGTGACTTCACCTTGTACAGGTTTGGCCATTTTTGGTACTCCTCCAACAACATTGTAAATTCTTCCCGATTCCACGACATTATGAATAAACAATAACAATAAACGCTCCTTCGTACGACTCGAACAGGACCACTTCCACAAATGTTAAGTGAGGTTATGTTGTTGTTGTTGTCGTTGACATTTGATATTGACATGCACGGAAATAACCCTCTGCGCCGATTCTCGCGCATATAATATAGAACGGGTTTTATATTTTTACCATGAAAATTTTCACAAGAATTCTTTTACGTATAATACGACAGCAAAAATTTTCGGCATAATTATGACCATAATTTTCGGAGTAATTCTCTTGTGTGTAAAACGGCTCTATGCCAATACTGGCGACGGAGTATTGTCGTCGCGAAAAATTTCGCAATTGAGATATTTGTTTTTTGGATGTTGCATGACGTGTACATTATGAAACACCATGTCACTTATTTCCGCCGGTCTATCAGTCTGTCGGTCTTAAGCTTTGTAGTTTTTGAAAATCGGTCCAGTGGTGGCGGAGGTAGGGGCAAAAACACGAACAAAAATAAAGATCGCTTCGTTTTTTTGACGTCTCAGATCCTCCTGATCATTTTAGAATTTTTTTTGAGTTTGTAAATATAACTTCCTTAGTATTAGTCAAAGGCATCCTATTATTAAGAGCTTCTGATCCATGTAACAACGGGAAAATTAAATGATAAAAGTCCCATGTATATTTTTTTTACCGAAGCAGCGCCGCAGGCAGAAACATAGATACCAGGACAGCGCAGCTGTTGAGAATACCAGAAAATCTTTGTAATAAATTTATTATTACTAGGTGCTCTTTTTTCTGTCACTTACTATATATATAATTTTTGTTTTTTAGATAAAAAAATTCATGAAGCAGTGCAAAAACCCAAACTATACCAGAAAATTCAAACAACTTCTAGACAAAGTGCAGCAAAACAACCAATTCATAGAAAAAGAACGATCTTCCTTAACAGTAAAACTGACAGACGTCAAACAAATCGAAGGCTGGGAAAGCCAAATGTTAAACAAAGGAACACCGCTAAGGACTTACTATGACAGTTGGAACAAACTCAGGACGATAAAGAAGAATAAACAGTTGACAAACAATGAAGAACTGGCGAACTACAATTTACCAACGATCAAAAAGACGAGGAAAACAATTGATACAAGCAAAAAGTGCGAAGGGCCCGTTGAGTTGTTCCCAAGTGATTCCGAGGATGAAGATGAAGAGACGTCACAAAAAAGGAGAAGAGGGAAACGCGGAGGAAAGAATATTAAGAAGAAATATAAGGGAAATGAAGATGGGCCAATTGAAGATGGCGGAGAGGAAGATATTGTTGAGGATATACAGTTGGAAGATTGGGAGTGATATGTGCATTGTTGTTAAGTGTCCTTTTTGTAAATAAAGCGTTTTAATATTCGTTTTTTTTTTCATATTTGAAAAACTTATTTCAGTCAATTTATCGCAGATGTTAACGGTATAACCTGTAAAAAACTTCTAGGATTTTGCTGAAATTTTGACGGTTACTATTAATTATGATTCTCAGAGGCAAATGACAGTTTTTTTAACATATTATTTTCCGCAGATGAACCTAGCAACTACTACAATAGTATGTTGCTATATGATCCAAGAACAAAGGATGCAACTGTTTTTATAAAGTCATGAAATACAAATATGCACACAAATTTATTGTGAGGAAGCCTTTATGATACTTGTTTATTTGTTTTCTAACAAAGCAGTAGAAGGCCGAGAGATAACGCTAACATGATGGAATATTTTTTTTTACAAGATATTAAAATTCAAAAACCAATGTAACTTACAAATTAAAAAACCAACCTTCATTACAATTTAAATAAGAAACAGTTTCAAAAATACATGAGCTTGTATGCTCTTGCTACGCTGAATAACCAAGATTGCAACAGAAATATAAGCAAAAATACTAGCATCAGATCTAGAACCTGCAAGTAATGGTATACGAATTGTGAAAATTCTGTATACTTTCGTAAAGGGTAAATGTCTGAATCTTATCGTCACAAATCCTAAATTAAGTGTCTGAATAAACATCTAAAATTCATAACAATAGTATAGAAGCATACTAAAAACACTCAGAAGTATAAATATAGAGTACATAAAATATGAATATCTGAAATATGATAATATAGGGATATTTCGAGTAAGGTCAAACTAGGTTGTTTACACAATAAATATTTTGCGTAAAGGTTAAGCAGAGTAACAAGAGTACTGCAAATTACTACAAAAGAATAGACACCTAAGCTATAAACTTGTGTGTGTCATACAATATACAAATTCAATGCATGGCTAATGGTCATAAAGTATATTATGAGTAAATGTATATAAAAAAAGAAATAAAAAACATTAGATAAAAACGAAATGACTGAGTTGAGTCAAGCAACAGTCGATGCAAGCATGTCAAAGTTATTTAAGATGAACTTCTTAATTCTTTTTTTGAAACTATACTTCAAGAGGATTTTATATTCTAGGGGTAATTTATTATACAACCTAATACCATCAAACTTTATGCATTTTTGGCAAACAGATTTATTCACTCTGATATAAGTGTAACTTAAATTTATTTTAGTTCTTGTTTCACAAGCGTGGCTGGTTGGAACAAATTTCAGAGCAGCAAAAATATATAAACCTCTAACATTCAAAAGATCATTTTCAATGTAAATCTTCAACTTGACCTACATGGGATACGAAAAATAGTCCTGACAATATAATTTTGCGTGGTTTGTAGTATTTTTAAAGTACTAGTGTATGCGGCTCCCCATATACTTATCCCGTAAGTTAGTAGAGACCCCACAAACGAGTTATATATTGAGAGAAGACTCTTTCTGCTTAAAATATTCCTAAGAATGAAAAACTTATGAATAATTCTCCTTAATTTCGATGCCAAAAGCTCGGCATGACTCTGCCATTTTAAATTACTGTCAACAATGATTCCTAAATATCTAATAACTTCAACTCTTTCGACAGTGTCAGCACTATCATTTATAATTAATGTTCGGTGGTGTAATGGCATGCCTGCTTTGGTTGGAGAAAACGTCACATACTTAGTTTTAGAGGTATTAAGTTTAAGTAAATTGTTATCCAACCAGCACTTGACTTTATTTAATGACAACTCGGCATTCCGTATTGCGTCATCCCATGAATGACCAGTGCAAACTAAAACAGTATCGACTACATATGATATCATTTTACAGTTGAAATTGCATCGAAGTAGTTCATTTATGAGGAACAGTGTTGGTCCCAAAACCGTCCCCTGTGGCACACCTATTTTGATCTTTTGAATGCTGCTTAAATCTGACCCTACCTTAACTTGTTGAAATCGATCAGCCAAATAGTTCTCGAATAAGTTCAGAACTCCACTATATACTCCAACACTTTCTAGTTTCTGTAATAAAATTCTATGAGATACTGAATCGAAAGCCTTTTCAAGATCTAGGAAAACTGCAACAGTCTTATTTCCATCTTGAAAATTGTCAAGCACTTGCCCTGCAAGTTCTTGTAGAGATTACTCTGTATTGCAATTTTTGCGGAACCCAAATTGACATATATACTAATTATATTGTACAGAGCGACCCAAGGTACATATAACTTACTTCAAGGACGAAAAAACTTTCTAGTCTTCGAAAATCGATCAAGTGGAAGCAGAACTAAGGAAAAAAGGAATTAAAAAACAGATCAAACCTTGTTTTTCGACCTTTCGGAATTTATGTAGAGGTTGAAAATAGGGAATAAGGCATGTAATTCAAATATTGGTTAAATATATTTATTTACAGTCTATATTGCTACACAACTACGCCTACAACCTTATTTTGTATTCTATACTGAATCCCTATACAATTACGAGCATTAATTAATAAAAAATGGACAAAATGCCAAAAAATTTTAACTATTGAAAAGCAACGGTATTGCCCGACGTCACAACTCTGACTTCTGACCCGCTAACCTTTTGTTGATTGGTCTGCCGATTTAAAATGGCTGGCCTTTCTTAGGTTCTCACTGTCATCGATCGTTAATCTACATAATAAAATGGAAACAAATCAACCAAAGCATAACCCAAAACGTAAAAGAATGTTCGGCTTAATGTTATACAATTATCTTCTTTAGATGGCAAGTGGAAAAGAGATACATTAATCTTTGTAAACTGAGGATAATCAAAACTAATCATATTTGAAAAAATTATTCTATGTCCCGTACTTATTGAAAAATATGAATCTCTTTTTGGACTCAGTATCCCTAATTCATAATTTTACACCACTTTTTAATCATCTTAGCATGTTGGGGAATATGAGGAAATGCTTTATCCGGTGGTTTCCGTATCGTATTTTTGCACTTTGGTACAATATAGTACTGTTTCCGTTCTTCATCTATGCTTCCGTTTTTTCTTCATTAAAACTAGAGGATATAAAATAGAAACTTTGGAAATTCAACAGCAAATTAACCAAAAAGACAATCAAATGATATATCAAGGTTTATGACGTCCCTGCGAAGCGCGTTTAATCGTCGTTATCATTGCAGTTTTTAAATATGTATTTAATGAAAAATAAAAACAGAAAATTTGAGTTTACGGTATATTTATGTAGATAATCGACAGAAAAATACAAAAAATATGCAAATTTCCAGTTAGAGGTTGTGAATCTTCGGAATCAGTGAATGACGATTTTGATCCATGTAATACTAGGGGCCTATCAGACAAATAAAAACGCTGATAAGTTCCAATCATGCCATATTCACAGCTACACGCTTCCTGGGCATGACCATATACCGCCCGAAGACACTAGTAAAATCGACTGCCTTTGGCGTGCGTAGGATATTTTACTGTATGTAGCCTTGTTAGGAATACTTGACACATTGCGTTTTTGTCATTTTTTTTTTCAAGTGGATCGACTCAATATCTCACATACAGTTCATATGGTCAAATAAACCGAACATAATCTAATTGACGATAGTTTTGTGTGGGAAGTTCAAAGGCAACCTACTTGACGTCATTTTTTATAATGGAAAAAAAAGAAGGTTTGATCGTTTTCAGGTGAAAAGTTGATGTTGTTTAATCAGGAAATAAAGGACGTACTGGAAACATAAAGTTATATTTCATCAATGGTAGATAAAGTAAAAATGTAAAACATCCACCAAAATCTTCCATTCCAAGCAAATCAAGTGAAAAAAATAATCGTATCTCCACTCAATTTCAGTTTTAATACGGTTCAATAAAAAGCTGTTCCTTTTAAAAGATAATACACAATATTCCACTAAAAGCCTAACATTAGAATACGCCAAAATAAGTCTCATTTTTAACAAAACGTAAATCATGCAAGACTATATTAAAATATAGAGAAATTAAACAATAAGGAGTCTTTTTTAAAAAGTAAGGCCCTACGGATACGAGTATACCGATAAAATTTCTAAAAGTGTAAAAACGGTTTCAAAAACGCGATTTTGGTATGACACGGGTATATCCATATTCTGAGGCGATAATACTTCTACATTCTTCACGGTAGCAGTTTTGGTTTGATCATTGACTTAGCACCTAAAAAAGAAATAAGTAATAAAATTTCAAGTTATGTCAATCTTCCAAAGTCCTGAAGTGAAGATGATGTCATCTAATATAAAATTTAGTATAACTTTAAGGTTTTTTGGATCATTCTCAACAAAAAAGGCCCTTACCAACTTTTGTCTAAAGTAGACCGTTTCAGAGTTATAGCCGATGTAAAGTCTGAACCATAATTTGGAATGCTGAAACATTTGGTTGAACACCAGCATTTTTGACATTGCCAAGTGTCTAATAATAATTTCAAACATTCCCTTACAAGACCTCGAAAAGTATTTGAAGCTTAGTTTATTTTAAAGCATTATTATTATATGGAATATTTTAGAGGACCTCATTTGTTCAGAAAGGTACCAATCATACAAAACTTTGGAGCGAAAAAATAAATTGTTCTAATAAAAAAATGTTTAAACCGGTTACCATCAGGTAACCTCCATCCTCTTGGCTTGTATTAAGAGCCATGTGAAGATGGGAAAATAAAAAAAAATGTTGGTCATTATGGAGTTGGAAAAAAACGAAAATACCTTAATCTTTCCAATCCTTTTTGATTTCGAAAGTCCACTCCCATTTCAAATGCTCGTTCTTATCATCGTCAGTGAACAGAGAATGTACTGTGTAGCTTCCTCGCGCCATCATGCCCGATGGTGCGTCTTCAGCTGGGGTCGTGTACGACTGGATTTCAGCTTTTGGAGCGTACGAACCCACCATGTGCGTCATTTTATCCACTACAACATAGATTCGCGATTAAAACAATGTCTGACGTGTTTTTGCTTCCTATGCCAGAACTGGCGAGGAAGTACTGTAATCGCGAAAAATTTCGAAATAAGATATTGTTTTTTGGATGTTATATGACATGTACAGGTAAGTCACGAAAAAACATGTGACCAGTTTCCGTCGGCCTGTCTGTCCGCCAATTTTATAACCACCTATAACTTGAGAAGTACCGCACCGATTTTGATGACATTTTCACACAAGGCTACTATTATACCAAGGGTGAAAAATATTTGATCATTTACGGAATTTTTTTTGTAGGGGTTGAAACTTGTTGTTTGTAAATGCAACGTGTTTGGTATTAGTCGAAGACGTTCTATCATTAAGAAGCTTCTGATCCTGGTAACAACGGAAAAATTAAATGATATAAGTCCGATGTGTAAAGTGCTCATAATTCGAAATAACATTGCAATCGTTGGCATTGCGTGCCCAGTGCGATGCTGCATCGTCGTGGAGGCCACTGCACTGAGTAACAAACTCCCAATTGGTTGACGTCAATGGCACACCGCTGAAGCAGAAATATAAACGCGGACTTAACTGTTTATTTTTCGGAATTTTATGACCCTTAAATGTAACACCCATTTTGTCTAACCCCAATTTGTATTATTCCGTCTATGATGGTTCTCTGAATATTTCGTCAAGTAGATTGTATCAGTGCTTATGACGCATTGATATATGTACAACGGACACGGACTGACAAACCGACATAAATGAGAAACACGGACTTGTGTGATGCAGATATCTTGGAGCAAGAGAAATTTGTGAAACGAAATTCGAATATTATCCCGGTTTTAATACTTCAAGTAGTCGCAGATTTCGAAAATAATAGGCGGAAATAAAATCACTGGAACATAAAGTTACAACGTTTCTGACAATCATGCTCATTTTCAGACACTGTCTGGAGACGATGAAAATTAGGTTGGAAGCTGTATGCGGTAAATGGTTGCGAATTATTGCACATTTGGTGTCGGTGAAATACTTTCTACTATTAAGAAGCTGCTGAGCTCAGTTTTGAAACGATTTGACTCATCCTTTTTCTTTGAAACCTCCAAAGAACGCGTAGGAAGTATAGAGTCAATCTACTTGACACCTTTTTTTATACCACAATAAGAGAGCATTTCAGATTGATTAGAACAGCAAACAATTATAAAAAGAAGAATTCCGATGACTGAATAACGAAAAATAAAGCTACAGAAATATGCATGACTGGAGAACACAGTTAAAAATAGAAATATATGAGAAAACTGTGTAAATGGAAAATCAATAGTTTCTGTGCAGAAATAAAAGGAAATATAGATGGAAATGAAGCAAGAGAGCATTGTAGATTGATTAGAACAGCAAATAATCATAAAAACAAGAATGCTGATGAGTGAAGCATTTCAGATAAGTATTTTTACCTGCTTCGGGATCTGAATTTTCCGGTTGTCAGCATATTTGGACAGAAAGTTTATAGAATTATTTTATACGAATGCAATGCAAAATCTGGTTGAATCCAATAAATCCTGCAAAAAATAGTGGAAAATAATATTTACCTGTGATGCCCAACTTGCTGGTCTTCTGCACATATTTGAGACCATGCACGATTTCTCTTTGGACAATGAATTCAATCCTGATCCTATACGAAACACCCTCCTTGATAACGAACGTTTCTTTCTTCAGTTGTGACAGGTCACCAGTGAGGTCTAGAGCTATCTCAGGCCTGTCGGCAACAACCAAAACCAATCGCTTGACGATCACTTTTCTAGGGTTGTCAGGCTCTGGAAAGAGATATTTTGTAATTGATTCATGTATTCTACCTGAACACAGCCAACTATACAGGGTGTTCCAGAAAGTACATCCAAAAATAAAAAAAGTCCCCATAAATATGGGTCCAAAGAAGCGCCCTACCGAGATACAAGATGACGTTTTATTTACGAAATTTGAAAAAAATATATCTACGATGTTGGGATTTTAGACGTTCAGTCAGCACATCAACACCAATAAACACACAGTTTCCCGGCCCAAACTAAACCAGGGACGTAGAAACTGGGGTACCTGGACCAATATTAGAAAATATTTTCTACCCCACTGGCCCTTTCGGAGAAAAGAGATGCATTTTATAAAATACCATTCAATTTTCCATATCCATCACTCGTTTTGGAGATATTGCAGTTTGAATATTTTAGGTAAAATCCTAAAATATTCTTATAAAAAGATTTATCCTTCCCTATCCTGAAAACACTATGAAGCTTGATATTGGAAACACAATGTGGCATGTCAAGAAAGCTATGGCACCTCATTATAAGATGCTGTGATAATTTTGACACTTCCATGATAATTTGAAAATACAAGATCCATATTATCACATACCGTTGCGGTTCAAGTATATCGTCACAAGGCGCTATCGAAATTAATTTCAACGGTCGAAACTCATTTAGAATCAGGCCTCTGGTATTACCCGTGTTAGATCCTTCTGTTTGTCTAAAATAACAACTAGAAATTGTGGAACCAATCAATTTAAGTAAAATTCTTCTTATTTTACTCATGAAATTATCGACCTTTTTTCTCAAAATTCGTTAGAATTTGGAATTAAGTGAGCTCAACAAACAAGGTATCACATATCGATAGCAACCTCAGACACAATGTATGAGGACGAAGTATAAAGAACGCTTTTAACACTGTTTGTACTAAGGATGTGATTTCCAAAGAGTCAGAGAGTCTTTGTGGCATAGAGCACGGCCTTGTGTTGAATCCAGAGGTCGTCACTTTCAACACTGCTTTTAGATTGGATGTTATAGCATTTATTCAGGTGATATGGATGGTACCTAGGCTTGTGAATAATCCTTTGGACAGAAGTTCCGCATATATCAGTTTCTGCTCCAATTTGCTGTGCACTTGAATGGGGATTTTCCTGCAACTTTAATAGAACCTCCAACTGATTAGCCTCATTGGTGACACTTGGATTATTTATACATTTTTTATTATATGCCACTGCTCCACTTGATTCAAAACGTTCTCGTAGTGTAAAAAATGTTTCCGGTGTCGCATATTAGGGTACCGTTGCTTATAAATGCGATATGCTAGGAAACTATTTCTTATTTTAGGGAATTAAGCCGTTCCATAAAAGACCATTTCATACTACAATGTGTAGGTTGGCTCTTGTTGTGTTCTTCGTGTGTGATTTTTTCGCTCTCCATCTTCTTTTCCTCAGGTTACAGCTGTAACCGGATGTATGGGCATGTGTATCTACTTTTGTAGTTGCATATGTGCATTCATTTCGGGCCTGATGAAGTCAACCAGAAGAAATACGTATCGCTCGGCTTACCGATCCTATTTGCTGCTCGAATCCACTTTCCTTCTTTTTGCGGATTTTGCCCATTATTTTCATTTTTTTTTTGTTATACACCTTTCTCCGCATGTTAATTTTCTCTCCCTCTCTCTCTCTCTCTCTCTCTATATATATATAGCAAAAAGCAGATAATATATAGGATTTTATCTCGAATATCCAAACTTGATATAAGTTATGGAATCCTGTTGGTAACATAACTATGTGGTACAAGCCCATTATTCCAATAAATTGAATTGTATGGCAAGCAAGCCCATTAAGAAATATTTGCTTTTTACTTCTTTTTTTTCGATACAGCTCTGTTATTTTTCCTATAAAGATTAGAATTATATCGAGGCACAGACAGATTTTGTTCAATACTTGTAACCACTCTTCGTTCCTGCAATAAAGTCTGTTATTTTTTTACCATGCGACGTGTGCATTCTTTATCTTTGCACACTGAATATTTGCGAAACGAGTGATCTGACAAAAATTGTTCTCGGTTTTATTGATTTTTACGACCGTCGCGTCGGTAAAAAACCGCAAACAGACACTACAAGCCTGGCGTTAACTATGCCCCAAGTAAAAAAGCCATACTGGTGACATAATAGTGACCATTCAGATACAATTCCGATCGTATTCCCAAAAATCGTTTCATCGCGTTTTTGTGTGCCTTTTGTTTCCAAAACCACATTAGGGAATACCAGTAGCTTAGCAGCCTTTGTAGAGCATACAAAAGAAATCAAGTTGAAGAGGAGTCACTGTCAGATTGCTTTTAGTGATAACAATGCCTAAACCTTAAATCATGCAATGATAAAGAAACATAAATTCGCGGGAAAGTATTAGTGACACTTTCATGTTACTGAAATATACCTGGCGACACTATGTTACTTTGAGAACCCGAATTTGCTGCTATAAACAAATTAAGCGTGTTTGAGATCAAAAATAGTTTGTAACTGACATTTTATGTTCGATAAGCGTAAATAATCTGTGATTTATTGCAATCTATATTTAAGCCACAACACCAAGCATTCATATACATGCAATGAGCCAAGAATCGATTGTTCTGAATCTTCTTTATTTCCAAACTGACTGTAAAATCGGTTTCTGGTTTAACATTAACTATGCATTAATTTCCTTAAATATTACAGCTATTTCTAATATCCGCCTGCATTTTGTTTATTTCAAGATTTTTTCATGTTTCAAAGGTTCTAAAATCGTTACGCGCTTATCTTGCCAAGTTTCCCACGATATATTTCGATCACGTAGGTACTTATAAAATATCTAATTGCTAATTCACTATGCATATACAACCTTTTTCAAAGTGATAACCATCTGTTGTTGATATTTGGGTACAAATGAGTCACATCCTCGTCGATTTTCGAAGCATATAATGCACCGAGAATATATCGAGCAAAAAATAATTTGGGACATTTCCAGGTTCATCAAATAAAAATTCAAAGTAGATTGACTCATACATTTTATGTTATATTATGTTATAATGTAAGATGTTAGAAAATGGAGATTGTTAAGCATCACTTTTAAAAAAATTATGTAATATATATAAATTGCCTCAATATGACCAAAAAGTTGAAAAGCGTCTAACTATTATTTTTTGGAAACACCGAACCGCATCTTTCTTCCACTAAGTCCGTATCTAACATTTTCAGATTAAGATGCATTCACTATTATTTTTTAAACAAAGATCGCATGAACAATTCAACTAATCAGTATCTTTTAGGGCTGTTGTTTCTACAATTGTAGGTCGCCTTTATGGCCTCCTCGATTGTCAAGGCTTTTCTCTCCATCAGAAAGGCTGGGGTATTTCTAGATTTCACCTATTCCGTATCAGCGTCAGCGCTCTCCTATCGTAAAGTTGTCTTCTTTTTGAATTGAAGGAAATTTTAGGCTGATAAGACAGATGATATGAGTTAACAATTTGATGCAAATGGATATTTGTGACATAAGCTCAAAATAGAGGACAGTAGAAAACTACGAAATTCAAGGAGGCCATAAAGGCGTCCTACAATTGTAGGAACGACTGACCATACGGCTCTTAAACTAAAATTACATTCACCATTCAACTCAGATTGCATCCAGCATTTTTTAAACAGAGATGGCATGTACAGTTCTTTCAAAGCAAGATTGAATTCGGCATTTTTAAGCGAACTTCAGATGCTTTATTCTCTTAAAGTAAGACTGCACCCACAATTTATTAAACCAAGATTATATACATCATTCTTTTAAACTAAGATCGCATCCAGCATTGTTTAAAATAAGTCAGCATTCACCATCCTTTTAAACTAAGCACTCATATCCAGCATTTCTTAAACTAAGATTGCATCCAGCATTTCTTAAACTTGGATGGCTTGCACCATACTTCTAAACTAAGATCGCATCCAGTATTTTTAAACCAAGATTGACAGCACCTATCTTTAAAAATAGGACTGCATCAGCATTCTCTAAAGTAAGACCACATTCACCATTCTTTTGAACTAAGCATGCATTGAGCATGTTTTAAACTAAGATTGCATCCAGCATTTTTTAAACTTAGATGGCATGCATGATTCTTTTAAACTAACATGGCATCCAGCATTATTTAGATTAGGAATACATCCGCCAGTTTTTAAACTAACATACACCATTCTTTTAAACTATGATCACATAAACAAGTTTTTGAACTAGAATTGCATACACCATACCTTTAAACTAAGTCACATCCAGTATTTCTTAAACTAAGATCACAAGCTCCATTCTGCATTTTTAAACTAAGATTGCATCTTCATCTTTTTGGCTTTCTTTTTGAGCTAGAGCACTATCACTAAAGAAATAAGACTAATAATGTTCCAAATATTAATGAAACATTTATTTATTGAACAGTTGGTATAACCTATGATAAATTTTGCATGTTTTACAAGTTGCTGAGGCTCAATATGACGCGGATGAAAATAGTAATATCCTGTATTTTTGGAAAAAACAATATTTAGAAGGTCAATAGTTAAATATTAAAAGTATTGCAATCAAAACAAATCAATGTTATGCTATTTTTTTCTGGATGACATTATCCTTATCTACATACATGGAGGGTCTGAAAACAACTGTAAATCATGTGATATTCACCACAGGGCATAATAAAATAAAATATGTTCCATTCTTTTATAATTTTTCAAGACATCATATCATCATTTCTTTTAGTGCCAGTATGCTCTAGCTTGAAAACAAAGCAGTTGCAGAGCCATGTTCATATGGAAATTTCGTCTTCAAATTGAACAAGGATTCATTTTTAAAGCTCTCCAAAGGTCCAAAGTTTGAGGAAGCAATTTAAAATGGTAAAGCAGTCTACATGTTATATGCAAATACCTAATATGATAATAGTAAAAAGCAAATAGTGCTACGGAAACTTACCGACTATGATAGGTCCAGTCTGTGCCTGTCCCAAAAGCGTTTCTTTGTATTTCCTCAAACTCTCATCTTCCTGATCAATTTGGAGGATTTCTTCGATCGTCTTTTCTGGTGGAGGTTTGTAGTTCGTGTCATTTTCTTGGTCGGTGAACTCTTCGGGGGTAATTGCCTCTCCTTTTCCTTGCTCAGTCATGCTATAGTTTTATAGTTTAAGTTTAGATTTTAGAGCCAATGAGTCATTGCAGAGGTTAGGTTCAAATGGAACATAAAATCTACCCCCAGAAGCTATTTATACAGATAAGATAGTGAATAAAAGTATTTTTTTTATGGCCGGTTTTTTGTTATGAGAATCGGCGATTTGTTTATTAGCTAAAAAAGTGTTAACGAAAAAGGTTCTTCAAGAAGTTTGTAATAAAAGCAAGCCAAGTTAAAAGAACAATTGAAGACTTAAATCTTTGACTTACGTGAAAATTGGCACAAAGGTGAAATTATTGATGAACAAAAGCAGAAATTATTTCGTAAAATCACAAATAATTTCAACAAAAATGGGTGTATGCCCCCTTACGAATATTTCCGATAAATTCCGAGCGTTGACAGCAATAGCAATAGATGAAAGATGCTCTAAGATTCCAACTTAAAAAATTAAGAGTAGCGACATCTCTAACTGAAAACTTGAACTTCAAAAGTTTTGAATTTTCAATTACAGTTTCTTTTACCAAATTCATGTGGTTCTGTTTGTAATACAGAGATGACGCTTTGTCGTTAGAAACCACCGACGATATATAGTATAGACACTGCGATTCATTCATGATTACGCATTTGTTTATTTTCCAACATTGCTTGGCGGTCAGGGGGCAGAGACGACTGGTGGGGAAAACAAAATGGCCGCCAGCCAGGGAAAGGATTACGTTACAACCAGTGGCGTATCATGATGATAATATTTCCGCATTCACAATGAAATAATGAATTAATCAATCTGTAGAACACGAGTCAGCCACATTTTATTTTAATTGATAAAGTTAGGTAAAAAGTTCTATTTCTAAATCGGAGACCTAAAAAAATGTAGGATGGCGTAAAAATCCATAATGGATAAACATTATGATATACCAGAAAATCAAGTTTCTTATTTCAAAAAATACAAGTCGCTTAGTGTTATTTCAATTTATTGATTTCAAGGTGGAACAGGATTGATATCTATCAATTTCGTTTTTTAGATAGTTACATAAATTTACAAGAAAATACAGTTCTTTTGAAAATGGTCCTGCCACTTATTTTTGGAACTGGTTAAGTTAGCAGGTTGAAATTCGGGTTGTTAAAATTGATGTAAAAATGGTGGATGAAAACTTCCAAGATAGCACCTAGACGCCATTTTGGGAATTTTTTCTGAATGGCATTGGATTTTGAAGATCTATACAAGTACTTTATAACTCTAGAATATGAAATCAATCTCTCAAAGTGGCGTACTAGCAGCTGGTCATTTCTACACTGAATCGCTTAATCTGCAATTTAACAATGAATATCTCATTTTATTGCACATTTGGATACCTCTTATAAAAGTGGTATTAAGATAAACACTATAAGGTGTTGATGAGTAGATGTTGGGTTAAAGGCGGCTCAACGTTCAAATGCCTATAATTTGACAGGCTGTGAGTTGTCCATTTTAAAAGGTGATAATTTCATATTCTAGAAGGTCATAAAGCATTCATAACGAGCAACAAAATGACATATTGCATTACCCTCATTCCACTTTTAAAAAATGTTCCATGATAGCGCGCAGACCCTTCTTGAAATTTTGAACAGCTATTTTTTTATTATTCAACCTATCCGAATTTTAACTTACTAGCTTGACCTGTTCAAAAAATAAGTAAGGGGAGAGGTACCTATTAGAAAGAGAAAGAAGAACACAACAAGTCATTGTTTAATTTCATGTTTTATTTTCAATTTATAATACACTCACCATTAGATTATGGAACACGTTCTTTTACATAATAATAATAAAATACCTTCATCTGGCAAGAAAATAGCTCATACAAATAATGGTTTGGATTCCAAACAGCGTAACAAGAAATGCCATTGAAAATCATTAATAATATGAAATATGGTTAGGATATGAAGAATAAAGATACAATTACTAACGTTAATTAAATGAGACTCTATAAAAATTGGAGAAATACAAAAATTATTTGTCTAACAAAAGCTTCTTTTACATTTTTCCTAAAATGGAAAAAAGGACAAGTATTAATCAAAGTTAGGGTACATTGTGATAGAAACTAAATGAATTATTGCAATTCTAGCACACCAATAATCTTAGATTATGAATAGATGATAACTATTTTATCGATTTTACCGATTCAAAATTTTGGATTATTGTAAACATATAATACACAACGCTACATTAAGAGTATTTTGACTTTTGTGGTATATACATTTTTATATTCTAGAATTATTCATGCCTAAATAAAATAGTTTTGGTTAGTACACTTCGAACTCTTGTTTTTGCTGATAAGTCCATATTTTTAGCAGTTTCATGGTGAATTCTTAATTTGAAATAATGGTGGAGTATTAGTTTTATTAATTGAACTGCATGCCCATCTACAGGATTATCATCAAACAAATGGTGCTCAAAATGGCTTAGAATTTCTGGTGGTAAAGTTTTGATCGTATTGATTTTCAATGTTTCTAATAAATTGTGAATATTTTTATTGCAAATATTTGTGGTTTTGTGGAAGAATCTAAAATATTTTTCGGCAGCGGTACATAGTTGAATTACGAATCGAGAGGCTTTTACAAGTTTACCATATTGTTTAACTCTCTGTAACGTAGAAATGACTTCGGAACTTTCTAATGCACTGCTGCATTTTGTGCAAGTGACACATTTTTTCATTGTTTTTACCACAAAACCAGAAATATATCCTACAACATTTTCGCTATAGTCAGTCAAGTCCCAAGCAGATGAAGATGATATGTATGTCGATATATTATTTTTGACGTCTTGTTCAAAGTCTAAATACTGTTTACTGTCTGTCAAATCATCTCCACTATCTGTAGCAGTAATTTCTCGCCCACTACCACACGACAGAATTGTTACACTATTCCCATCTGAAATATTTCCTGAACTTGGACATGTTATTTCAGTATGGACGAGTAATCTTTTGTAGGCTGCTTCAAAGTGCCTTGCACTTGGGTTATTATTATATCCCCCTTTCCCTCTTATTGCACCGAAAAAAAGTTCCAAGTGGTCTTGTGATAATTTATTCGTCAATATGAATTTTAATTTGTTTTCCAAAATATATGCATTATATAGACCCTACAAACTGATAGTGGTCTTTTAAATTGATATTTGGCCAATTTATTTCTGGAATTGAATATATCAAATACATCATTGAATTTTTTGATGAAAATAGCTGTGGCCTCTGCATTTTGAAAAGCTGGAAGCTTAAGATCCTTACATAAATATGATAGAGCGTCTGCTACACTTTTACTCAGCGTTTGGGTAGCTATTTTCACTTTCATTTTTTCTCTAACAAACTGCAGATGGCGAACAGTAATTTTAGTGCCTAAGTGCAAGCCTTCACTATATTGTGTATCTACCAGTTTGCTTAAAAAATTCCAGTCTATTTGATTTCCATCTTAATCAATTAAATATTTTTGAGACCCAAACGTGTTTCGCACTAATTTGATCATGTGACATGGGTCTAGAATTATAAACACATTGCTACCAGTCACAGGATGGGTGAAGCAGGTTTTCATAATACTGACATCAAAATTAGCTCCTAGATGAGAAGCCATAGTAAAATTAACTGGCGCACCATCAAATGTTAGTGACGTCACTATAACACCAGATTCGTGAATAAAAGACAGACATTTTTTGACAATCTCAGCCTTTTCTTTTCCACTAAGACCATCTAAAAAGAAATAGCCTACTGGTATTTTCCATGAGCCGTTCAAACAAACAAGCATGAATACCAAAGCTTCTTTTGCTTCAGGTAAAATGTCCGAGTCGATCTTTGAGCCAATATCTATATACCCAGAGAATTTACTGCCTGTCCATTCCACCTGGCGACGGATGGACATCTCATCTAAGACCAAATTGCAGTAGACTGCCTTACCTTGTGACAAAGCGTATTCATGTTTTATTTTCAAAGCCTGCAGTGCTTCTTGGGTGAAGCCTGGGGAACCATCAACCGATCTATACCATTTACTGATAGTGCTTAGATGAGGCAGTGATTTATTGAACGTGTTCCTGACAAAATTATAAGCTCTAGGCGAATAAAAAGATAAAGTTAATGCAAAAGTCCTTATTGAAGGGTCATACTTCTGTGATGATGGCCCTCGTAACATTCTCTCAAAAATTTTAAGAGATGAGCCGGATAACGATGCCTGAAACAGACTTATTTTAGATATCGAATATGTGGGTAGCATAGTTAAAATTATTACCCTCAAAACATTTTCAGATGAGTCACTTATGTAAGACTTTTTCTTTAAAACACACACACAAATAAGGCTATTTAGTGTCCCTACTCTCTTCCTGAGTGAGTTAACTGTGACTCGAAGTCCATGAATTCTTTTTCTCTGGGCCTGTATTACATTTTTCATTATGCAAAAGTTTCTTTTTGCTCTTACAGGTGAGGAGAAATCATCACTCAACATATCACCAACATAACGGCTCTTCCTAAAAGAATAAAATAATATGATATCGATAACAATTTTAATTTCAGATAAAATTCAGTTCAACATGACATCAAAGAGGAGGCAATACACATTTAAAATGATTTTTGATTCTGGCTTTCCTTTTGTCCATTGTCCGCTGATCGACTCTTATGATATAAAAATGTCGGTTAAAAAGCAATCCATTAACAATGTTATTACTGAGCCCAAAATGGTTTTAAAATATCTGGTAGTAGTGTTTATTTTAAAAATCTAAAAAAAAAACTTTACCTCTTTCTCTTTAGTCCTGCAACTGGTTTCATGTGAAAATCAGATGTAAGGGCAGGCATTGCTACAGAGTCCAGCTGTTCTTCAGCCTCTGATGCAGTAGTCGTATCTGATGAACTTGAATTAGCAACTGCTGGATAAGATGGTAGCTCTCTAGATGGTCCCAGGTACACATTTTCATGTTCTTACCTTCAAAAAGATATATGCTGTTAATATTTTTCTTAGTCATTTAAAATGCAAAAGAATATAGTGATATGATACAAAATTGCTAATACGAATAGATACAAAATATTTATTACCTGTGCTTTTCTTGAATCTGTAGCTGTTCTTTGGACTCTGTAGCTGTATCGGATTTCACATCAGCAACAATGTCTTCAAATCTCAAGCTTCAAAAGAAATACATGTATATGTAATGGATATCAATAATCAAATTCAAGCGGATAACCAAATGGAAATGGTATTTACCATTTTGGGTTGGTATTTACCAATCCGTTCAAGCGAGTGTAGTTATCAGTTTGGTTATAAGATCCGTGACGTCACGAATCAGCTGTTATATGTCATAGTTATCACCGCAAAATTGTGGTATTTACCCAACTCAAGAGTAGTTTTATATTTCTGGTTATTATTTGAAATGTGACAAGTTAGAATTTTGCCGGGTATTGGATATTGTTATTGTACTTCAGCTTCATTTTTGAGAAAAACGATACAGGCTGACGTCAGTTTTACCATAAAGTGGAGCACCTTATTAGTTGTACTCATTACGGTTGTTGGGGATACTTTAAATGTAGTTCCTATGCTTAACAAAGTATCCTGTGTAGCCATATACCACAAGAATATTAAAATATGGCCATATAAACTCACTAGATGATATCCACCTGTATACGGTTTTGCTAATTTCTTTTTTCATCATTTCTGCTGAATCAATAAATGTTTTCTTTGACATGCGGAAAAATTTAGAGAATTGAAAGTTATCATAGCTACAAACCCATGGTTAGATCATTAAAAAAAAAATCTGAAAAAAACATTTCTCCATGAATATTATGAAAGGTTTCTTATTTAAACTTTCCATATACAGTTGTAGACGAAAAAGCACCGATTATTAAGTGATAATAAAAATAATCAGAGATTATATACGCGCTTTTCTAAAATAAACAACTTGCAACAAAAACCGCGGTTAAAACCAACGCGTTCAAGCGATTCGTGTAACTGACGTCATCAACCCGTGTGTCATCTTGAACCATATTATAACCACGGCACATAACACAGAAATTTTGGTTATTCGCTTGGATTTGATTAATCATTGATAAAATTCATTGATGCCTCATTCCATCGACATACAGCCATTGATGCATCAATACATTGACATATAACCATCAATGCCAAAACATCAATATTCTATGATCCATGTATTGTTGTCATCCCTAAATATTAAAAATACCTAAACATATACTAACCGTTTTACAACAGGGCCACCATCTGCTGAAGTGGTGGTAATACCCAGAATGTCAATTTCTGAATGAGGCTCTGAGCTTGAGGAAACTCCTATTTGTTCCTTGCCAGGACTACTAAAAGAGCTGAGACTAAGCGATGACTCTGAACTAAAATAAATAAATATAATTTAATCATATATCCACATAATATCAGGTAGATAATTATTAATTATGTGCTCCTTAAATGATAGCTGATACATAACTAATAAAAAAATAATATGCATCTAAATATGTATCAACAAGGTTACTATTATAATATTACCTCTTTGTGAGATCAAAGGCAGAATGCACAGCAGTTGGAACAGCATCACATTTGAGATGCCTAGCTCCATCAGGCATAATTACAAAATCACTTTTCTGAAAGTGTTTGGAACAGACGTAAGCATACTTTGGGAACTGGTGGTCTTTCTCAAATCCCAGAAGAGATACCCAAATAGATCTTCTTGTAGGTTCCTTAGGCATCCTAAAAGATTACGGAAGTGCTTTAAAATGTCCATTCATTGTAAAAACATTAAACTATCGGATATCGAGAATGCGTCCCCACGCCACTGGACTTTCTAACCTAACCTAACTTTTTTATTTTCACTTACCCATGAAAAGATAAGCCTTCTGCTTCACGCTGACGAGTGTATATCTTGCAAACACAGCACTGGCGCACCATGATCGATATCAAATAGTAGTTTTGGATAGTTTAAATGCACTAAAACACAATTCGCAAAACGACGCACAAACCGGTACAAACTCAAAACATCCCAAAACATGAGTTATATCAGCCGTTCCTGCTGATATGATAGGAATACTGCCGACGATGCTACTAATTTCCTAGAAGACCTAGAGTTTACTTTATTGTTCTCAACACATTTTACAAGCAGTCAGATTTAAGCCTTTGTAAAAGTACAGTTTTGAGTTTTGTATCTTCGAAAAATAAACTTTTTAAAAAGCGATCGCGAAGCATCGATCTTATAACTGGCGCAGTCAATCCAGTAGGATCAGAAATACGCGACCCGGGAAAGACTTTCGCAAACCGTCGCGACGGGACTTTTCGGGACTCTATCCGGCCTTTTTGGACTTGGTGGCATTCGTGTAGTGGCAGTGAGCACTGGAGTGGATTCATATTTTTGGATACCCAATCCATCGAGGAACCGGCGTGAACAGCTACATACGAAGGGCATCGGAATTTGGGACCACATTGCCCAAGTTCGCAAGGATTCCAGCCTGGGGAAGACAACATTGCAGAACCAGCTAGGATCTTTATAGGAGTAAGAGATGCTAAAGATCGCTTTCTTAGTGTTGTAAGTGCAGTTTATTTTTTTCCATTTATCGCTTCAAATTTCAATGAGTATTGATATATCGCAAGCCCTTGAGAATTTGGACCTTAATACTGACTCTCCAAATACTCGACGGTACTCTAATATACTACGTGAGCCCATACTTTCACAAGTCCCTGTACTTTCAATACCTACAAGTATTACTACAACTATGGCTACTTTTAGGCCCGAATACTTAAGTTGTGTGCCCGAATTTGACGGCAACAGTAACGATCTCAATCGATTTTTGCGTGTAAGCAAATCCTTGATTGACAATTTTTATGATCATTCCAATCCAAACAATTTTCAAAATACATTTTTATTGAACTCCATTCTTTCAAAGCTGAGAGGACAAGCCAAATCTTTAATAAACATTCATTCAGTGAACACCTGGAGTGAACTCGAAACTTTATTAGTTACTAGTTTTTCTGACCAACGTGATGAAGTGTGCTTACATAGAGACCTTTGCTTACTAAAGCAATATCAAAATGAGAGCCCTCAAAAATTTCACGAAAGATGTTTGCATATTTTAAACAATCTGTGTAGCTACGTTAATATCCACGAAGCTACCGAAAGTGGCAAAGCAATAAAACGCGATTTGTATCAAAAACTTGCGTTAAAGACTTTCCTTTCAGGCTTGAAAGAACCATTGGGCCCCACTGTTAGGTGCATGAAACCAACCTCCTTGAGCGAAGCTCTTCAATTAGTGATTGAAGAACAAAATGTGCATTATTTCCAAAACGTTTCATATAGAGTTAAGACAGATTCACAGAATTTTACAAATTTTCAAAATTCGCAGTTCAGACCTGCACGCCCAGTTAATATGCCTTATCAAAATTTTAATTCTCGTACGCCTAATAGCTTTTTCCGTGCGCAATTCCCATCTCAACCCATCCAAATTCAACCTAGGCCAAACTTAAATCAGCGTTTCCCGACTAACGCTGAAGTCTTTGGCAACCAACAAACAAAGAATCCGAATACAAACGTTTTTAAGCCCAATTCTTCAAATCCAAGAAATCTTCCCAGGCCGACACCGATGAGTGTCAGCACAAGAAACACAACACGTCCACCATTCGCTCCAATTCCGGCGAACACACCTCGACCTCAGCAAAATTTTATCTTTGAGGTACTGTATAACACCAAGTTAAATGATAACGCAACATATGAAACTTATGATACAGGCAATTTTGCTACTAACGTCGAAAATAATTACGATGAATTCTATGATGACCCCAACCAAAATATTTGTCAATACGATCATTACAATACCGATCAAAATAATGAACTTGACATGCCCAACCCAACCTCGACGTCAGGAAATGAAAATTTTCCCCCAGCCAGCCAGGTTATTCAACCGACATAAACAGTGAAATTATATCGTTCAATGCTAGCAACACAAAAGGATTGAGCTATATAGTTTTTCCCGAATTTGACATAAAACTTTTGATTGACTGCGGGTCTACTAGGTCATTTATAGATCCAGACATCGCATTCAAATATTTTCCACAACAAATCATAAATGAACCATTCATTGTTTCGTCTGTATTTCAGAAATCCGCCCATAAATTCAGTACTTTAATACCAGCATCCAAAATTTTCAATCTGCCTCATCTAAAGGAATTAAAATTTTACTTGTTCAAGTTTCATGATTTTTTCAATGGTTTGATCGGTATGGATAACTTAGAAGAATTACAGGCAAGACTCTTATTTCAAGAAGGGTTTCTTGTGACACCGTATGCAAACATCAAGTTGCTTTATCAAAAACCTAAGAATAATTTGAATTTTGTTACCATCGAACCTCGCACTGAGCTTGTCATAAAAGTTAAAACATCCATAAGCGATGGCGAAATTATTATACCCCACCAAAAAATCCATAATTGTGAAATACCGGAATGCTTGACTATTGCGAAAGATAGTTATGCTTTGACGACCTTACTGAACAATACGACAGATACCGTTACACTCGACTTTTCTGAACCCCTTTCTGTTGAACCATTTTACCAGTCTATACATCCGACGATATGTCGAGAATTTGATCTTAATAATATCAACGATTCTCCAGCCAATAAACTAGACTATTCCAAAATTAGAGTAGACCACCTAAATTCAGAAGAACAGTCCGCAATCCTCAAACTTTGCAAATAATTTTCGGATATATTTTATCGTGAAGGCGAACCACTATCTTTCACAAACAAGATAAAACATCAGATTCGAACTACTGATGAGATCCCAATTTATTCCAAGACCTACCGGTACCCCTTTGTTCACCGACAAGAAGTAAATGACCAAATCCAAAAAATGTTGAAATCGAACATTATTAGGCAAAGTAATTCGCCATATTGCTCGCCCATTTGGGTTGTGGCTAAGAAGATGGATGCCTCTGGCAAACAGAAATGGCGCGTCGTAATAGACTATCGTAATCTTAACGATAAGACTATTGATGACAAATATCCACTTCCCAATATAAACGACCTGCTGGACAAACTAGGAAGATGCCACTATTTCAGTACGTTGGATCTTGCTAGTGGTTTTCACCAAATAGAAATGGATGAGAAAGACATTGAAAAAACAGCATTTAACACCGAAAATGGCCATTGGGAATTTTTGAGAATGCCGTTTGGTCTTAAAAATTCACCAGCCACGTTCCAACGAGTGATGGATAACATCCTCCGAGGAATTCAAAACGAAAAATGTCTCGTTTACCTCGATGACATTATCGTATTTTCGACGTCTCTTCAAGAGCACTTAGAAAGGCTACGATCTGTCTTTACCCGACTACGCGAATCTAACTTTAAAATTCAGTTAGATAAATCCGAGTTTCTAAGAAAAGAAGTTGCATACCTCGGACATATAGTAACTCCTGAAGGCGTGAAACCTAACCCCGACAAAATCTCAGCAATACAAAATTTCCCTATACCAAAAACTAATAGGCAAATAAAAAGGTTTTTAGGACTCTTAGGCTATTATCGGCGATTTATTCCAAATTTCGCTCTACTCACGAAACCTCTCAAGTGCCTCAAAAAAGGCGCAAAAATTGTTCACGACGACGAATTTGTATCATGTTTCGAAAACTGTAAGACATTACTTACCAACGACCCAATACTTCAGTACCCAGACTTCACAAGTCCATTCAATTTGACAACTGACGCAAGCAATGTAGCTTTAGGGGCAGTTCTTAGTCAGGGTCCAATCGGTAGTGATTTGCCTGTAGCTTATGCGTCACGAACCTTAAATGATTCGGAAAGAAATTACAGCACTACCGAAAAAGAGTTGTTAGCTATAGTGTGGGCTACCAAATATTTCAGACCTTACCTCTATGGGCAGACCTTCAATATTATAACAGATCATAAACCCCTCCAGTACCTTTATTCATTAAAGGAAGGCGTCTCCTCAAAATTAATGAGATGGAAAATGAAACTTGACGAATATAATTTCAAAATCATCTATAAAAAAGGCAAACTCAATACAAATGCTGACGCTCTTTCTAGAATCGAAATTCATACTAAGGAAACTAACGATTTTTGGGAACAACTCGATGACTTCCTTGGAGAAGCCTCCAACTATCAGAATCAAAGAATTACCTTTGTAGATCAAAATTTAAACACACCTCCCACGACATAAGCTAATCCAAATTCACCACTGATAATTCAAGATATTAGCTACCCCAATTTAAACCCTGAACTAGACGATATCTCAATGATTGTCAACTTGGACAATGAAACAGATCAACCTGACTGTCAGGAACTTCCTACCGTTGACAATACAAATACTGACAAAGATATAATCAATGAAACAGAACAAACTGACTACCACGAACTTCCTTTTGTTATTGACAAAACCAATACTAATGAAGACGAACTTGACAAGGATGATGAAACCCGGCACTCTTATAATCAACATCCGGTTGTTACAATTCCTATATCAGACCAACCATTGAACTTTGGCCAAAATCAGATCGTAATTAAAACGGTCCTGCACTCTCCCGCCAAGCCGAAAATCATAATTTTATTCGAGAGAAAACAGCGGCTATTAGTGCAAATTTCAAAGAACAACCTTGAATCAGATGTTGTAAATTTTGTCAAGGAATATATTGTACCCGATGTCCCATACTATATATATTTCGAAGATCCTGACATATACGAACCCTTCTCAGGCGCTTTACAAAAGTATTTTAAATGGCCCTCTATCAAGTTTAAAAGGTGTCTTGAAAAACTTCTAGACATCACTAGTAATGATGAAATAAATTAAAAGTTTAATACAAAATTATCATGAAGGGAAATCAAATCATCGCGGGATCGATGAAACCTATTCTCGCTTAAAACAAAAGTACTATTGGCCAAATTTGAAAAGTTCCGTTCAGTCATACATAAATGACTGCGAAATCTGTCAACAAGCCAAATACGAGAGACACCCTGTTAAAGCGCAAATGAATATC